CCAGGTGTCAAAGGGTCGTAATTTGCTCACTCCATGTGTTCGGGTAAACATCGGGGGGGGTCCAACCCGTTCTGAAATGGTCCAAATGTCGAAGATTCAGTTGTTTCCCCCCACAAAGTGGCCCCAAGCAGTCGACACGCCACCAGCCACCAACCTGGCACGCGGCGCAAGTGCTCGCGTGGCGCGCGCTCCAATGCTCCAGGACGTGGCGGTGGCCTGCGGCATGCTCGGCGCCCTGCAAGCGGCAGCCAAGCCCCGGCAGGGCCTGCCGCTGCTGGCGCAGGCGGACCGGACAGCCCTGCAGGAGCTCGAAGCGTCGAAGCAACGCAGGCGCAAAAATGTGGCTCTCTCGCGCACTCGGAGGTTTTATCGGCCGTTGGGGGTGGGAGAGTTATTGGGAGAAAATGTCGCTTTTTGCTTTGGGTCTCTGGCGAGCCGCCTTTTTATTGACACGGTCCTTGCAGAAATAAGGCTTGTTCTTGTATGAATGCCACTGTCCTGAAGGGGCAGGGATGTTGCAGTCGGTGCTGTTGTTAGCCACTGGTTCAGTTCATTGTTCAATCTCACTTGTCGATACAACCTTGGAAGCCTGTTCCGAGCTCTGCACCAAGGAGTAGAAAAGTTGGCAAGCTGAGTTGCCTTTAGGCGAAATTCCAGCAGCTTTTAATTCTTTGGAAGAGAAAGCGTCATTCGGAAGCACTTCTATGCACATCGACATGGGTGTGTCTTAGGGGACGCTTGCCTGAAAAGATAACACACCCACATGAAGTCCGAATTCCAAAAGCGGCGGTTTGTCCCCGCCACGACTTCGATTAGATCTGACCTGGTGGGTTGGCAATTTGGTTGTCGCTTGCTTGACATATGCCAATCCCAGTGGATCCATTTACCCGTATGGCATTGTATAGTTGGTAACCAGGGGAAGCACCAGTTGAAAAAAAGAAAGCTATATGAATATGCGTGGGTGGCTGGGATCCATCAAGAATGGCCAAACACGGATGTGTCGCTGGAGTTGAAGGCGTGGCAGAAGATGCAGAAAGTTGGAGCTCGAGGTAAAGCTGTATGAAGGTTATTGGGGTTGTTGTTTGAGGGTTGCGAATTAGCTTTTAGACAAGTGCTTCACGCCGCCATAGTTGCATGCGCGCAATGTGCCTTGACCAGTTCAGATGGTCAAAGGTAGGGGGAAGTGTTCACGAGCTCTTTGAAGTAGAGAATGCTTGTGGAACCACACAAGACACGCAGTCTTCAGAACAAGCCCCTTGGAGTTGTGTTGGAGGAATGAATCCATGCATGGCAAACTGGCTGGAACTGGGGGGGCATGTTGCGGCACCTAAGACGTGTGTGTGTTCCATGTCGTCCTGGCATAGCCCGACAGCCAACACATACACGTTGGGGTGCTGAGCTGATGTTGGTATGAACAAGCGTAGGCGTTCTTTCAAGTCAGTTTGGACGAACATAGATAGATGCCACTGATTTTAGCGCGGTTCTAATCATTTACCAGCGCCACCATTTGTTCCAAACGGGCAGCTACAGTCAAATATGACTAGACTTTGGAAATACGAAAAGAAGCAATTTTTGTGTGGGCCGTCTGCACAGGGCGCTCCACGTAAGAATCCACGTGTGCGAATGTATGCCATAGTCTGCTCATGACCAGAGATCCTGGGTCGCCAAAAATCGTCCCTTCATCGACACAAGGTTTGATCAAATCGGCTCACTTGGAGATAACTGCAGATGTAGCAAACAAGCCCAAATGGCATGGTTTTGTTACCCCAAGCCTGTCTTTTTGGTGTAGCCCTGGTTCACAAAGGGGGCGAACACCGTCCACTGCATTTGCCTGGTCGAGTGCATCTTGCGTGGCCGGGAGACGCGTTCGATCCGTATATTTCCTATAAGCCGTTTTTACTCGGTGTGGATGCGTTGAGGCAACCATGGAACCAAGGACTAAAACCTGCGGTTTGCCCCAGCTGTTTAATTGTTGACCCATTCCCATTTTTTCCGTACGTGGGGTGTTACTCTTCGTTTTCAAACGTCGCAAGTGAAGAATACTTGGCACAAACATGCGTTGCTGGATACTGCGCTGGTGCTTCTGATGCTTGTTTGGTTTGCATGGGGTCGTGCGATCGAGTTGCACCGCGCGTAAGGCTGGGAACACATTTAATGACTTGACATGCCCCTCATGCTTCAGACGGCGACCTCGGCTCCGTTCACCGGCTTGAGTGCAAGCCTTCAGGTGTCATCCAGTCGTGGCAGATTTTTGATTTCAAGACTTCAAGGCTGATTGGTGATGGCTTTTGTTCTACTGGGAATGCCGCACTGGTTGACTAACAGCGGCATTTTACTTTTGGGCCAACACCCCCTAACAGGACGGGTGTATTTGTTTGGGGTTGCCTCTTTTGGACCAGGTTCAAGAACTTCCAAGAACGTGCCTTGTCCGGTGCGGGTACAGCAATGTAAAGAAACGGCTTTGTCGAGTTGTTCGAACACGGAGAGGCCTGTCACCAATTTGGGTTTGCGGGGCTTCGGCTGCCATGGTTCTATCTTTGCCGAGCTCTGCTTTAAGACCAGTGGCCTGGTGGGGCGCAGCGCTAATTTACACACAGGTGATGAATCAGAAATAAGGACCTCAGAGCCGCCTTTCCAGATGGTTTCTCCAAGTATCTTGCTGGCTTGAACTTGATTCACGACCAGCCAGCTTCTTAATGCATTTGCTATATTTGCTATGGGCCTTGGATGTTCCCGTTCAAGTGCTGAGTTGCGCAACGCACCGCCATAATACAGAAGCTACCTACGTGCTGACGCCCCGTCAGCCAAATTCAAACATTTTTGTGGGCATGTTTGCCATTCTGAGGCACGACAGGTCAGCCGTGTTAGGATTTGCTACCGGTGCTTGTTTGGATCTGCGATTGCTCAGCTCAGGCAGCTTGCCACACCTGCCCCGGATCGAGAGTCGCGCGCTACCAAGAACGGTCAACGAAGCAACTTGATCGTCAGTCTGCCGCTTCGCATCGAACAGTTTTCCCTGCGTCAGCGAAAGCAGGCGATGTCTTCGCAAACGCCTGACATCGCCCCGCGCGCGCTCCCCGCCCTCAGTCCGCTGCTTACAGATCGCACTTAGGTTTTGCGGCCCACCCGCGCGTTGGCAATGGAACAGACTCAGCGCAGGGCCATAGGTTGACCTAGACGTTGTTGGGCCGTATGACCGGATCCAGGAGCTCGGTAAAACTTCAGGCTAACGCGTAGCTGAATTCTCGCGAGCACAGCACCCCGCCCAACACCAAACAGCAGCGTCAAGCAGCGTATTGCATCTCGAAACGGTCTGACCGCGCCAGGTTTACACTTGTTCTGCGTAGGCATAGTTGCCGGATAGTGGGGAGTTTGTTTTTGCCACGTTTGCCGCGCGTCAAGCGCATGCAGGCAGCTGGCGCGTGTTGCAGGGCCTTCCTTCACACGCTTGCGGGAGACCCCTGCTCTTTTCCAAGCGTCACAGCCATAGCCGCCTGCGGCCCGACCGGGTCCCCACCTGCTTTCGGTCGTGAAAAGACCTGGATCGGCCAGGCAGCCGTTAAGCAACGTTGTGGCTCGAGCTGGGCAAGTGCAACAAGCAGAGACCAGCGAGTCAAACGATCGGGTAAGTTGCCACATTTTCTGCGCCATGTGTGTTTTTGTCAAGTGGCTGTGCTTCTTGGACTTGTTTGCAACAGGCCTGATTGATCCTAATCAGAGTAGAGCCCGTTGAAGGACGGCCTTTGGAAAGATCCATCCGGCAAACCCAAGACGGCTGGCCGCATGCCGTCTGCATGATCAGAATCCTTTGCTGCCTGAGCTTGGCCCAGGCACGCGCGCGACACTTTTTTTTGGGGGTGCACGGCTCGGCAAAAACTTCCCGCCGGGTCGGAAACCGAAGGAAAAGTTGCAAGCAATCCAAGAAAGAAGGGAAGTAGGAGCGGTTACAAAGCCATGTGTTTAACGGTTGTTTGATCATTTACTACATTGCACGGCCATTTTGCACTGGTCTTCCGCAAATGCGTTTTTGGCCAAGGCCCCGTGCTGGTGTTCCTTAAATCTACCCTCAATATCAGGAACGGACTTTTAGGGCCATCTGTATTTTACTAGGGCGCCGTGCATGTCTACGAGCATGCTATGCTTCAGATGTTGAAGTCGGAACGAACCGCTATTGGAAAAGCCAGTCTGCTCTCAAGCCTATGTCAGAAAATCCAGCGAACACAAAAAAGATGAAACACTTCGAAGCAAATGGCGGAATGTGGTCATATTCCCATGCATGGCGCACCAAACCAACATTCTCCAAACGATTCCTCTACTCCTGAGCCCACCAAAAAACCCATCTTTGCCGAAGCGTTCGCCCCGTCCTTTTGGAAACACATATCGCTACTTGCGGGCAATTTTGTTGTGGCAATCTCCTCCACTTCTCAAAAACAATCCGCTTCGTGTATATGCATGTGTATATATATATATATATATATATATTTTTTTTAACTTCAAGCCGCCCAAAAAGGGTTTCTCCCGGCAGCCAACATGCGTCTGCAAATTCAATGCATGTGTTTGTTCATCCCATCACCCCCCGCCCCCCCCACAAATGCACACGACTGCACGTTCGGTTTTCGCCCCGCAGGCAAAAACTTGTGTGTGTTTTTTTGAGGGTACCGGATTTTTGGTTTGAAAGGGAACCAACATGAAAACCACCATGGGCTCGCCAGTGGCATCACCTTGATCTATTGAGCTAGGAACTTGGCGGGTGTCATTGGTTTGTGTCGTGATTGGATGCCCAGCGACCCCTTTGCGAAACAGAGGAACATGGCCCAACGAGAAACGTGGGATCCAGGATGGCACGGTTGAGATGTGGGCCGGAATCCCGTTATCCGTCTGCAACAAAGTGAGAAACCCTACTCGAGAAGCCTGAGCTGAGAAATGCTGTTCTGGTGTGCGTTTGTTGAGACCCTTTCCGGAAGGTGGTGAGGTTAGGTCACCCTTTGCAGCGTGGTTACAGCACGCCCTCCCCTTTTAGGTTGGTGTAAAGAGAAACCAAAATACAAACCATCATTCTGGGATATACCTCCATGTTGGCACATCAAATATGTTCTGTCAATGAGAGTATTTTGGGTTTTGGCCTCTAGGCTGCACCATGGGGCCAGTCCAGCATGGAATACTTTCTACGGCTGGGCCACGTCTACGGCACCTGGCCGCCAAACAGTGTCGTCCCTGAGACGCTGGCAGGGGTAAGGAAAGCTCAGGCAGGGTGTGCTGTGTTGCGTCGATGCTTTTTTCGCTGTCTGTCTTGTTTTGGTTGGTAGCCTCTCTGGGGTTGGTGGAAAAGACAATTTCCGAAGTGAGGTCCCAACATTTCGGGGCTTCAAATCCTAAAGACGAACCATCCATTTGCACGAGCCAACTAGAGGCGAAAAACAGAGGAAGCCTTCGGACCGGCATCTGTTGCCAGTGTCAGGATGCAAGGAACGGTGAAAAATCGCCGCACGTTTACTTCCATTTGTTTAAAACCACGGCAAACAGTCAAAACACATTTCCAGCAGTGATAAATTATTTTTAAGACCAACAAGGAAAAATAACAAGTATTCTTAAGCAAATGGAAGTTTATAATTCATTTCAAAAACCAAAAAGACGTCCATTTCCGATGAGTTCAGCTCTGATCTTCCTCGCTCCGACCAGTTCCTCTACCGATTGAAACACGATGCGTGAAATCCCGACCCTCGTGCGCCTGAAAGGCCCAACGCAAGGCGGCCGCAGAGGGATGGCAAAACGGGGCAAACACTTCAGAAGTCAGAGCTGTGCAACCTTTTGTGGCTCAAGAAGGCGTATGCAAAACCCGGAGTGCAAACGGAATCCATCACACACTATGACATACATATCTCTGGTGGCGTCGGAAGGAGCTGTGAAATGCATGGAGAAGATTCCAAGAAGGCAAATCCAGCTCCTTAAAAGGGCTCAGCCGCGTGCTGAGAAGTCCTTGCCATGCGGATTCCCGTTGCCCTGAAAAGTTGACAGTTGCTTAGACTTGTTCATAAAACTTAGCTCTCCTGACTTGAGGCGAATGAGTCAGAGCGGGACAAAAGTGGCTATTATACCTTGCGCAAGCACATGAAACCAACACAAGGTAGGGTGTGCGAATGCTTGAAGGCTATGCTGCGAAAAGCTGCACAGGACTTGGCTGAAATGGGGATTCCTTCACCTTCGCCTCTGGAGTTTTTCGCTGGCGCACTGCGCGCAGGCCTGGCTGTACTCCAACCTGCAAGTGTTGCTGAGCCCTCCAGGGGACCGGAAGGCGGGAGATATTCGCGGGCGGATGAAGCCAGCTTTGGCGGACATGCGGCTGTGATTTTTGTAAATAGGAACTGAAAAGTGGTTGGTGGACATAAATCCCCACCTAAATGATGTCCACCAACGGGTCCCCAATTAAGATTCGTACCCATGCTTCTCGTCGTTTCTTGCAGTGACTCGTGCCTGGTGGCTAAAGAGTTTGAGCTGGCATATCAAGACCGCGGAGAGCTGATCACCCACTTTACGTGTTGGGTGTGTTTCAGCTGCCAAAAACCTCTGAGAAGCTTCAAACAACAGTCACACAGCTTTACTTCAAGGCCGGCATTTCCAAGTGGCAAAAGCTCATGAGGTATATGCGACACCCCTATGTCCCATATGGGACGGGAATCATGGAGTTCTGTTCGGTGGCCTTTGGCAAAGTTGCAAAGCCCAAGGCTGAGCAACTGCTTTCGCCTCCGAGTCGTGATTTTACGTGCGGGGTCCAACTGCATACGAGGGCAACAGCCCCGATCCTACTTTCTCCGAGGGTCAGGGAATGCCCGGGGCAGCGCACTTGTTTGCACATGCTTTGGGGGGGTGTGGGGCAGAAGCCGAAATTCACAAAAACATCAAGTAGAAAGACAAGATTGCACACCCCATGCTCCTTGTGCAATATCCCCCTTGGGTTTGCAATCGTGGCTTTTTTTGTGTTTCGTGTTTGCTTGCTTTTTGCTTCTGTGTTTTTTCCAGCTTGCGGCAGAAACCCAAGAAGCAGCAAGCAGAAACCCAAAACCCGACACCCCATCGCTCCCCTCCACCAGGCCCTCGGCAGAACGCAAAACAAACCGACGCTCCCCCCACAGGCCGCCCTTGGGGCGAAATACCGGGTGCTGTTTGTGTTTATTATTATGTTCAATAGTATTATCGTCTTATTCTTACGTTTGTGTTTTTCTCGATAAAAAACAAACACTCTATGGGGGCCCAGGGGACCAAAGTGGTGTGCAATCTCGTTGGTTTCAGGTCTCATGAACTATCGGGATGCTCTTCTTATGTGTGTTTCAACATAAGATGAAGTTGTGGCAATGAAAGTAAAGCTACATGTGTAAACTTGGTTTCCTGATAACTTAGCTGGTTAGGCGCATGTTCTTCAGAATGATGTCTGAAACACACGCATGCTATACACATGGGGCGTGGTTGGTTGGTTGTGGAAAAGTTGAGATTCGCGTGCGCACACGCATTGTACATATATATGTATATATATATATATGTATATATGTGCTGAAGTATGTTGAACGCACAATTTACATGTATGTTTAGGAGCAAACCAATGTGCAAGTCCACTTAATAAAATGTGTGACATGTCTACACTCCCAGGATGAAACCGAACCAACAAACCATGTTCAAACACAATATGATACTGTGACTCTGACATTAGCCTCTCAATTATTGTTGTATACCACGGTTTGTCAGCTTATCTTAATCATACGTGAATGATGGCAGTATTATACCTTGCCAATGAAAGCGCATCTATGTGCACACAAGTGGTTTGTCCCTATTGGCATTCTGCCATATGTGTTTCCGCGATGCTTGGTGTGATTGAAACCACTGGATATGCAATTCGAGTAGGTCTAAGTCGGTTGATGTATTCATGCATGTGTCGTTTCACGCGTATGTAAAATAGGACATTTTGGTGTATGTGTATGACACATTGTACGTTTATGGAAGGCGGGCACTGCGTGTGTGAGATGGGTCTTTCAACGAATCGGGGATTGTAACCGCCACTGAACCGCAAGTGCATTGGGTACATTTGTGTCAGAACTTTTGCGTGCTAAGGTGTGGCCCGTTTGTGAAACTTCAGCACGGCAACAAAAACTGTCAAGGCCATGCAGAAGTGAAGCCCATGGCAATGACCAAGTTGCTGAAGTGGCCATATTCCAAGAGGGGGAGGAGAAACGCATTTGATCACATCTATGCAGCATAAGGTTTGGATTTAGATTGTGAAAGGATTAAGAACACCTCAAGAACGCTGCAAGCATACTGTGCATGGAAGAGTAGCCAGATTCCAATGCTTCCCACAACTTGAAATGCACAACCAGCGTTCCGCTCTCGTTGCTTAGGTCTGTGCCACAGGAAATTAGGAATGTCGTGCCATCTGTTTGGGGCCTGCCCGCATTTCAAGGGAAACCCACATTCACACATCGTTCTCCGGGCCGAAGTTCATGAGGGTTGCTCAACATTGTCATTCCCTTTGGATGGTTAAAGGGAAACATAGGGACACCCTTAAATGACTTTTTTGGACACCCATAAAGGACACATAGGGACAGCCTTGAAGGAACCACCCCGTTTGGTGGCGCCCCGGGTTTTGACCCCCAGGTCAAGATGTTCGAGGCCCCGGACCAGTACGAGTCCTTTTCCGCGCAGCTCCGCTACGGCGTCCGCGTCTGCGACGCCGCGGACGCCGCGAGCGGCGAAAGACGAGCGGTGGAGCGACACCTGCGGAGGCTCGTGGCCAGGTACCGCGGGCAGCTGAAGGAGCTTTAATTTGCGCTGAGGGAACTTGGTGGCTCCCAACCGATTCCGTAGGGTTTGTTTGCGTTTAGCGAGTTTATTGTTTGGTTGAGCCAGAAGTTATTCACTTTTGGCTGGGGATCGTCTCAATAGGTGAAGTAATCCCGCAGTTGCGCTGAGGATTTTGGTCTCAACCATTGGGTGAGGTCCCTGATCTTGACCAAAAGTCACCACCCATGTGGAGACACGGTCACTACTTTGGAGCAACTGAGGAAGTGAGGAACGCTCATTTCAGGGACCTTTATAGGCCTTAAATGTTTTTTTTTTGTTGGTTTCGTGGTCGGGTTTCCATTTAAGCAGGGGGTCTCAAAACCCGGACAGCCCAGTGCACGCCATGGTCTCAACCATCGGAATTGGCGCGGTGTGGTTCCAGTCCAAGACGCCGAAGTATTTGGTTCCCTGTCTTCCTGTGCGTCTTTGTCGTGTTCGTTCTTAAATTTGATGTCGCTATTTATATAAACTTGTGCTTTGTGTGTTTTGTTAGCATACGGAAAGAACGGAACAACGAACAAAAACAGGAGTAACGAAAGAAATACAGAAAGAAAGAAAGAGAGAAAGAAAGAAGCAAGAAATAAGAACATGCAGAAACATAAATAGTTCTTTAAACATCAGTATGACAAATAATAGATAGACAACAACAGAACACCATACAGAAAGACTGAACGAAAGAAATAACAAACAAAGAAGGACAACACAAATAAACCAACAAACACGAATATCTGAATAACGACGTAAATACATAAGTAACGGAATGCAAAGGTAACAAAGTACAAACAAAGACAGGAATTAAACGCAGAATAAATATACACCAAAGTACAAACACACAAAAAAAAGTAAGCGCACAAGTACAGCATCATATCATTGTTTCTTTCATTGGTTTCTTCTTTATTTATTGTTTTTTTTGTTTCCTCTACAAACACATATTACTGGTTTATTTATGGGTTTCTTTTTTTCTTGCTGCCATTCTGTTTTGTTTCTGTATTTCTCTCCCTCTGTTTTCCCTCTTTTTGGATGTCTTTCTCTCGTTCAATGTGCTGATATTGCAGCCTGCTAGGCTTGTTGTGATTAGAACCGGCGGGGAGCCGGCACCAATGCCTTTGGCGATGGGAGCTCACGCGCCGAACCGGGGGTGAGCTATGGGCCGGTCTGGGGGTAAGCGAAACAAGTATTCGAGCTTAGGGCACTGTCGTGCTGCAGAGAAAGTGTGTGTGTGTGTGCATTTGACTCAATACAAGCCGTTGAGCTCTAAAGTTGCCTGCTGCAGCTGACAAGTCATCGTCTCCAGTCGCTCTAAAGCTGCTGGCTTGACACTGTTCTGGGTTGGCTGCAAGCCCTTGTTTAGACAAGTCACGTGTTAGCGCGTGAAAGGCATTTTCCGATATGTCGAGCTTGTTGCGCTACAGAGGCCCTTTCAAGTACCATTAGTTTTGGCACCGGATGACTAGCATTTTAGACCGTCGTGGGTTCACACTTACTTTCAAGACTGGGGAATTGGTAGTCGTGATGCCCGGCATTTTGTTTCATTTCATGCAGGAGCTCCTGAGCAACGCGCGGCTCAATCAGAGTGTGCAGGGTTTCGGAGGCCCGGGGCTGAGGCTGCGACGGACGTGTGATCTGAGTTTGCAGCTGAGCTGCGGTTTTGAACCACCCGAATCGCACAAGACGTAGGTTGACCCCCGACCTGGCAAACGCGCAAATGAAGGAAAGGCAATGCCCGGTTTTTGTTCGATCAAGCCAAACAAATATGTTTTTTGCTTCCAAATACAGTCCAGAGGCGCAAGCTTTCGCGTTGTTCGCTTCGCATGATGGCAACCACAGACAATTAGGACGATTTCACCGCGAGCGAATGGCGAATGTATTCAGCCGTTTGTTCGCTTCTGTATGCAGGCGATTGTTGTTTTTTTTCTTTTTTCTGCAAGCACGGATGATTCTTCGCCGTGTATTGGTGTGCCTTCATAGAGACGAGCGACGTGTGGAGTCATTGCTTCTCATGTGTTGAACTGATCAGACGTCAACCGGCTGGCCATCCCTGCTCACTCAAGTTGAAGGTGTTTTTGTCCAATCGTCGATGATTGCGGTGAGTCCTCCTTCGAAAAGCAGGTTTGATCAAAGGCGTTGTGCCACAGCACTCATCGCCTTGGGAAGGATGGCCAGCTATTTCATGAAGAAGCTTGCAAGCGCGCTCATGCTCTGAAAGGATTGCTAATGTGGGTATGATGTCTTAAGAATGCGATCAGTAATAAACACGTTGCACGGCCATTCGTTGGAATCACTCGCTTTTGTCATGATCGGAGAAAACCTCAAATACAATTGTGGAGCAAATGAGACTGACTCAGTGTGCTAAACGCATGCCTGGGTTACCTTGCGCAATGTGACCTTGGGACTTTTTGTCAATTCAGGTGGGATTTTTCCGGTGGGACACGTGCGTGTTGTTTTTCCAGGTGGATGGTTGTCATAGGATTCTTAGGGAACTCTTCAAGGTGCGACACGAAAACGAGGTCCAACAAGACATGTTGTATTGACGTGCTTTATGGGGAACCGGACCAAAGACAGACAACTTCTGGAGTCCGTGTATCAAAAAGGCAAACTGGTACCTGCCCCAGAGACCGGTTTGCATTGACACCATTTGCAAGGCAGCTGCATATTGATTGGTTAGCGGACCATGGTCGGGACATTTCTGTTGCAGGTCTTTCTTCCAGGTAGAGCTGACCAACCGGGCCCCAGACATCCCCTTCAGGAACCAAGCTTCGACCCTTTCAAAACCACCTCAAAAATGATTGTTGGACATGAATCCCCCCATGTTGATGTCCCCATTTTGGGTCCAGCCACTTAGATTTGCCTGTTTGGAAACCAAAAGGGGCCCACTAATTAGGGCAGCATAAAATTTGGCTGCTTCTTTTGGCCAATCCACTCGGTCGGAAGTGAGTTGTCGTTTTTTTGAGAAGCTTTTCTGGTTGGTTCAAGCGAAAGCCCAGGTAGCCTCGCTCATTTTGAGAAATCCGGAGCCGAGAAGGCCATCCCCCCAGCTGTTTGAGTTGTTTTCAGTTGGTGTCGCGGTTTGTTTTCCATTAAAACCACAAAACCTGCAAGTGAAACAAAAAAGAAAGACATGTTTTGCAGGGCATCCCCTTAGGTTTTTGGGTTCAGTGGTCGGTTTTCCGTGAAACCCCACAAATTATCAACACGTTCCGATCCTAAAACCGCCAGCCCTCCAGGTGAGATCCTCCTCGCCGCCGCCGAACACCTGCGCCGAGCCCTGCCGTCCACAGCCTCCGGAGTCGACGGTGAGTGCCGCGGCGCGGCGAAGGCGCTGAAGGCGAAGGCGGAGGCCTTCCATCGAGGCGCGGCTTTGGGGCGGGAAACCCGCGTTTCTTGGAAGGGCCTGAGGAAGTCAAGAGAGAAACCAAAGGGGGAAAAAGATCACTCAAAGGTTGAGAGGTAGATTTTTGGACAAACAACCTGCGGGGCAGGGAGGAAATATATGCCAAGCACAAATTGGGATGAATGTTTATTATGACCATTGTTTAGGTGGCGATGTGTGGCGATGTTCCCCTTTGCGTAAAAATCCCCGGACAATTTCCAGAAAATCCCCGGTGTTCGCGAACTTGGTGTTCCAGCGGGCTAAATCAAAATTCCCCCGTCCTTCCCCCTAGAAATCTTTAGCGTTTGGGGCCGCTTTGCATGACTTGTTCCTTTTCGTGAGGCGTGTTTGGCTATAATAACTTTGTTTCATTTGTCCCTTCCGCTTGAAAAAAAGGAAAGTAAAATAGCCCAGGGTCCCCTTTGCTTTGCCTGCTACCTCGACATGCGACTGCCTTTCAAACCCACCAGACAGAACCCCTGCCCAATTTTGTGTGCGCAGAAAAGATCCACTCCGAGCGGGCAAGCAGACGCTTGCACATTTCTTCTTCTTTTTTTTTGGCAGGGGGAAGGGCCAGACGCAAATCAACGTCACTTCATGTTTTGAGATCCTCGGAGCATTTCTCACAACGGCGGATCCCTTCGATATGTCAGGGAAACCAGAAGGAAGCTTGACACATATTTCGGCGGGGACTATATATTTTGACCGCCCTGGGCCATCTGGGGGTTTTCCACCACCACCAGCAGCAGCAGCACCACCACCACTACTAGACTCCGGCCAGATACGCTGGAGGGTTTCTTCCAGCTCTACGCCGGCGCGGTGTGCGGTAGCTGGGCCCATCAGCTGCCGGCGGCGGTTATGTACCACCACAGCTCCGCGCTGAAGCTTCCGGGGACCTTCGGCGGAGAGGGACCCCTAGGAACTTGGGATGTCCACCATTTGGGTATGGGGCAAAATTAAAGCACTAGGAATCGGACCGCAGGTTGAATCGTCCTTGGTTCCATTCACTAGGGTTCCAAAATGGATACCCTTTTTTGACCCACGGCCATTTGAGTTTTTTTTTGTTTTAGGGGACCAGAACAAAATGGTACCAGACTCGAAGCTTGCCCCATGCATACCTTATGGGCTGAGCTCAATCTCGGCCTTGTGCTGGATGAGGATCAGCATAGTGTTTCTCAATACAGGGTCCAGCCTCCATGCATGTACCATGGCTACGCAATCCCCTGACTGGCGGCCCAAAACCACCCCCAACAGAACTTTGAACCCGTGCGAAGGCCCCTAAACCAACCCAAAACGCACTATTTTCAGCCCGCTTGAACCCACGATGAACCCGCCCCTAAGACCCCAAAGCAACCCTAAGTGCACCACAAGCCCAGCTTATTCCCACCCTGAACCCGAAACACGCACACACACACCCACCCTGAACGCATTCTAAACAACACGACCACGAAGCGCACCCTGACCCTCCTTAAACCCACCCTGAGCCCATCCTGAACCCACCCTGGATCCTCCTTAAACACCCCCAAACCAACCCTAAGCACGCTTTCAAGACCGACCCAACCACCCTAAACCACCCGAAGCCCAGAAGTGCAAACCCACCCTAAACCACCCTAAACAATCTAAAGCACTCCAAAATGGACCGGAAACAAAAAGCAAAACAACATAAACGTTGGACCAGAAAGAAAAAAACGTAGGGAACAAACACCTGGCAACATGGTCGGCCGCATTTTCGGTGGGACTTTTTTGGCGTGCAATATGCCCTCCTCGAATTGCCTACAAAAAGGTCGTGTTTTTTTCTGGGCTCCTTGTTTTGACTGCTTCTAGGGGTTGTCAAAGTCGGTGGTCTCCCTTGAACCCACATCGTTGACTTTATAGTGCTAAATAATGGGGCCAGCTTTTTCCCCATGGCGACTGGATGTCTAAGAAGGTGGCCTTTTGAGGATCTGGTTGGTTGAAAAAGAAGACCAAAAGGAAACATTCATTTGGGGCGATCCCCTAGTTTGAGATAAACATCTGCAGGGTAAAACAAAATGGGCCGACCCAATGGTGAGTGATTCTGCATCTTGCTGGTCTGCTTCCAAGGGAGCCGACTGGAAATTGTTCATTAAATATTTCAAAGTAGTTGGAGCCCTTTGTTGTTGAATGGTTCGACAGGACAACGAAGCGGAAAGGAACCACCTCGAAGGGCCGTTTCCTGTTTCCCACACACATTGCTTTTCAAACCTCTTCGGCCATACCCTCCCTCTTCTTTGGTGCGCAGCAAAAACCTAAAGACAACCAACTGTTTGGGGGGCTCCCTATTTCCGGACGAACCCAAATGTTCAACCCATCCACTTCAGGCAAAAAACTTCACGGCTCGGCCTGTGGTTCTTCTCCTCTGTTCCAATGTGGCGGGCTTCAATTTGCTGAAGAATATCCTTGTATTTTCCCTTGTTGTTTTCTTTTTTTGCATGGATTTGTTCTCACTATACTGGACAGTTTTTCGAGGGGCTTAAGCAAATGGAAGCAAGGTGTTTCCTTCTGTCCCTTGAAACAGCAAAGAACAATCAAGGCCGCCCTGGCATCACGAGCAGGACACCACGCTGCAGCCAACAAAACAAACGATTCGCCACGCTACCTGGCGTTTCCAAAACTATGTTACATTGAATACATTGTAGGAAAGGCAAAGAATAACTGGGCGATCTGAAGGCAGTCAAACTAGTCATCTGATTTGTTTTATTTATTTTTAAAGGTGTTGCGCCAAAACTATTTCCCACGTGTGGAAAATTGAAGCATCTAGTTTAAAAAAATGTGGGAAACTGAAGCATCTGTATTTGTTTTTATCAAACAACCCAGTGGGCCGAGGTACCACCGGGGCTACATCTTGGGCCACCTGCTGTCCTCTTTGGCCCCAGCACGCCGCGCCGACGCCGGCTTCGGCGAGAAGCCGTGCCTGCGGGCGGTGGAGATCGGAGTCTTCGAGGGGGTCACCTCAGAGCAGGCTGGGCTTCGGGTGCAGTTGGGGTATGGTTTGTGAAACCCTCTTGGGTGCAAAGCATGTGCAAGGTGTATGAGTTGTGTTTCCTTTGGCAAAGCGAATGATTGATGTTGTTTTGGCAAAGTGCATGAGTTGTGTTTGAGTTGGCAAACTGTATGGTTTATGTTTCCTTCGCCAAAGTGTATGAGTTGTGTTTCCTTTGGCAAAGTGTATGATTGTCGTTTCCTTTGGCAAAGTTTATGAGTTGTGTTTTCTTTGGCAAAGTGTATGATTGCTGTTTCCTTTGGCAAAGCTTATAAAGTATGTCTCCGTTGACAAAGTTTATGATTTATGGTTCCTTTGGCAAGCTTGTAGTTGATGTCTCCTCTGAGAGGCAAAGTTGTTGATTCTGTTTCTCCTGGGTGTGTGTTGTTTTTGTTGTTCTTGAACAGTTGATGTGAGAAACGAAACACCAGCTGCCAATCACAATCCCTATAACAATTAATGTACACCAGATTCAGTTGGTTCTCCAACCAACTGTTTGTCCAAGCAGCTTTCATGTAATGGAAGCCTTTCACCACCTGTGTGCGAGACCAACCCATGCTGTGGGTACTGGTCATTTGTTTTGGCCACCAGGATATGGACTGTAGGTTGAATCGTCCTTCTTTCCATGGTGGAACCCATTTCGGGGTGATTCTGCAAGGAACCAGACGTGTTGGGTCCTCAAAGACCATGTCCCGAAAGGGGGCCGGGGCCCGAAGGGGGGAGAAGGGGAGGGAGCCCCAAATAAGGCCTCATTAAGCCCTCAAGGCCTCATTTAGGGCTCCCTCCCAGCCCCCATGAGTCTACTGGTGGGAGGCTACCCTATTTGACCAGCAGCTTCAGGTGCTTCAACAGCTGCCCTGCGCCTGGGCCAGAAGGAAGATCTGTCCCTTCTGATCGGTTTGGTTTGGTGAAGAATATGGCTGTGGGTCAAAACCAATGGGATCCCATTTTGGGGCATGGCCATATTTGTTTGGGGCAAGCCACTGGTTGAAAAATCGGGTTTAGGCCATCCAGCTACAAAAGGGTTCTGGAATTGTTGTTGCAACACAATTCGCCTATGCCAAGGAGGGGGCACACTTGGGTGTTCAACCAACTTGGTAAGTGGGTTGTAATACTGGTATAAGGGGACGAACTCTATTTCCACCTGTTACAATCCTGGTTGTCACGTATCAAGTTGGTCGAACACCCTAGCAAAGATAGGGTATTCCTCAGATGTGGTTTTGTTGGGTTCCATGCTCTGGGGTGGGTGTGTGGTCGCCTTTCGAAAGCAAACAACCGAATGACATCATGATGTATTTTAAGGTTCACCCAACGAGCCCTGTGATGTGTGAATGTCATGTATACTTGGGTAAAAGCTGAAGTGGAAGAGGAAGTGCGCAAATTCAGAGCTTGATATGTGCTGATATATATATATATATGGGAATCAAGGGGGTTCAGGCTGATGTCCATGGCTGGGATTGTGAGGGGCATGTACCACAGCATCTCAGCATGCCGCGCCCTTCAGTAACGCTACTCACAGCCGAAAGTCACACACCCCCACAACCCCACCCGCAGGTGACACCCTCATTTGTAACCTACTGTCGATGGACAAAGTCCTGCGCCTGCACCACCTAAGAAACCCTGGAAGGATGATTCCCCTGTAAATGCCAACAAACAACGGTTTCCCATGGTTTGAAAGTGGTGCAGGATTTTGTAAATCCACATTGTCTTCAGTGGCATACCCCATGTCCCTATGACACACTTCTCCGATCCGCTTGTTTTTCGCATGTGTCAAAATGAGTGCGTGAACATGCGACCAGCTTGCCACGTCAACCAGCGAGTTTCGCGAAGGGATAAGAGAGGGTCGGCCCGTCAAGGGCCAATGTGGTTCCAGTCAGCTGTCCGGGGAGGGGGGGGGGGGGTGAGGGGTGGTGCCGTTTCCCACGTCCAAAGCTTCCTAGACTTTACATGCCACACGTTTGGTGCAATGAGTAGCTGGGCGGCTTTCCGATGCCCATCTCGAAGGGCTCTTGCCAGGCATCCCTTCAACAATTATTACCCCCTCTTACCAATAATTGAGGACGTCCCTGTTTGGACGGGGTTAGGTATTCTTTTCCTGGGGAACCCCCATCATTGCCAAGGGCACGGATGTTTTTGCATTCCACTGACTCCGTAAACAAAGACGGGTTTGGTGGGTTGCCATCAAAGTATACGGATGAGTATGCATTCCCCCTGGCTCCAGACAAAAGCAGTCAAACAAAGACAGGTTATGGATGTCTTTGCATTCCCTCCCGGACTCCATAAACACCCGTTTCACTCCCAGCAGATCTCAGACAAGCCCTTCTAGTGGGTAACCCTTCGCTATGTTTCTTTTGGTTTTTATATCGGGTGGCAAGCCTTTGGTTACCCTGTGCAGGCCAGTGGATCCCAGTTACCCTTACAAAGGGCGGTTTTTAAAGGGTTGCGCATACCTCTAAATGGAGCATATTCACTGAGCCTGGGCCTCTGTTGGTAAAGATGGGTTGCCTAAACCAATGGATCCACTGGTTTCAAGCGTTAGAGTTTGCCCACAGCTGTTGAACCTGTCGGTGTTCTTTCGGGGCTCTCCGATGGATTCTCACTTCCTGAGTTCATGAACTTTAAACTTTTTGGGAAGACCATTTTAGTGGTAAATATAAAGTTTGGACTTCTTATAGGCCATCCACTCGGCAAGTGAGGATTACTCGCCAGGTGACATGGAAACCCACCCGTGCCCAGCTGAGGTTTACACTTGCTCTCCGTGGACCTCGCGCCGCGGCTGAACGCCTGGTCCAGGCTCAGGAGCGGAGCGGCGGTGATCAAAACGCGCTTTCCCCCCACGGGAGAAGCACCGGGAGAAGCGGGAGAAGCAAAAGGGGAAAGGGGCGGTTAGAAACAGGGGACCTATATGGGTGTGGCTCAACATTCGGATTCTAAGCAGGGACCCGGATGTGGCTCAACATTCAAGAGCTAGGGTTACGCAGGTTTTAGTCTTTGGTTCCAGATACCAAGATACTATGTTAGTACATTTGTGTGAGCCACAGCCATTCCCCCTTTTGGGTTACATGGTCATGTAAACTTGAGACTTTGAAGATTTAAGATGTGGGTTTGAACCTGGCTAAATACTACAATCACCAGCAAACATGAAAACACATTGCACACGTACGCAAAGCTCACCGACAAACCATCAAAGTCAAGCCAGAAGAACTCTGGGCAAGTGAGAAGACCGAAACTGCAACAGTGCAAGTAGCATATCTGAAGCAAACTCAGACATCCGAAAGGGCAAGCTAAGCCTGGCAATGATACGAGACGGTACTTTCTTCCGCGGGCGTCTTGTTTTCATGGGGTTCGGTCCTAATCCCCGCCCTCACAGATCTGGGGAATCCCATCTGGGCATGTAACCATGCCCTTCGCTTGGCAAGGCTATTGCTGTCAGATGTATCCACCTCCCGCCCCACCCATATTGAACCCCCGACCCCACGTCCGATCTCGGCTGTGTCTCTTACCATGCTCAGTGACAAGCGCGGGGCCTCCAAAAGCTCCAGCGCAAAGACCCGAGCCGAAAAGGATGGGAAAGGGAAGCGCTTTCGACACACGGGTTTGAAGCCTCGGACGCAGATAAATTTGTCTCGAAAACCGGGCGGAAAAGGTGCTTTTGGCTTCTTCTTCTTCTCTTGCCTTCGAAGCACGAAAGGTGGCCTCAAACAAAGGTCACACCCATATGCTTTCTATGGACGTCGGTTGAACGTCCCGCCCGCATGACACATACGACTCTGGCCCAAGACAGTCTGAGTCGTGGCATAAATGCAAATTCGTGAGCAGGTATTCTTGTTGATATTAGCCTCTTTCCGGAATCCCTGCACCATACACCCAGCATTCAGCCTTATGCTGCGTTGCTGAGATATCCTTCACCCAGATCCCTGCTGTCCTTCTTTTGGTTCCCATGTTTAGCAGCCCCATGACCTTGTTGAAACGCATTTTTGCTCGAATCCTGGTGTGACGGATCTGAAAGGGACCGGTATATAGTTCACAAAGTGTACCATCGTTGCTTACCTGAGAAAGCAAAAAGATGTCGCCTGAACAGTGGTTTAAGCATGTTGAACCAGCATGGCCCAACCCGATTCCCCATTTTGACGCCCCATGTACAAGGTCTTGCCACCTCTAAGACTCTAAAGGGGAAGGGTCAACTAGTTTCAACACCTCAGGGCATGGCCAAAATGCTGGTTGACCATCCGTTGGGGAACCCACAGGTCCTTTGGGCGGTGGCTTCAAATCATGATTCACAAAAGTTGGCATCCAACCCGATCCACGGGTTTACTATGAGCAAGTCCCTTTTGCAGTGGCCCTCCCGTCGTTGCCACGGAACCCACCAAGGCTCCCAGAGAACCTCGAATCGTCAAATGGCTTCACGTCAATGTGGCATGTCTCGTGTTTTTGTTTCTTTTCTCTTTAAAGAAAAAAAAGGCACCCTGTTCAGGGTTGGTTTTAAAGGGAGGCTAACGGGAAGCCAACTCATTTTCCAGACTTCATTTTTTTGAGACAAACCCATGACAGGATATGATATATCGGTTATGTTTTTTTGGTGGACCCCCCCCCCCCCCCGAAGGAAAAAAACAAAGACACAAACATAAAAAATGATTGGTTTCCTTTTTGTGTCCCTTGAAAACCAACCAAACACGGCTACTCCAAAAATCAGACGAGCCACGCAAATGAGCCACAATCAAAACCCGAGTAGATGAAGGTTAGTTCGGGACAATCCCAGCCAGAAAAGGCGGCCGCCTTCTTAATTCTTGAAGCCTGGTTCTGGGTCGACCATGTCAATACCGGGCTTTGATTGTGACTCATTTGAGTGGCTCGTGCTTGGTTGGTTGTAAAGGGACACCAAACGGAAAACAACCATTTTCATTTGTTTTGTCGGTCCTTCTTTCTTTCTTCTTTTTTTGGGGGGGTCCACCAAGAAATAAACCCACCAGGACCCCCCAATGGCTGGCCAATAACCCCAAAACTGCCGTGAGGTCATTCCACAGACCATTTGCCAGCCATTGGGGGGGTCTTGGCATATATCATATCCTTTTCTCTTTTTGTCTTACCCTTCCTCCCACTAGCATGGCACCTGAGGGAGGGTACCTGGAAGATCAGTTTCCTCTTGGAGGAACCCCCCTGTCAGGTGCCATGTTAGTGGGAGGGAGGGTAAATCGCCTGCCACTCCGCAGGAGCTTCGGCAACCGCAGCAGGCTCTGGCGTATGAGCTCCGCCGCCGCCGCCGGGCGCTTCTCCGCCGAAAACGAAAATGAGGCGGAGGCGTTGGACTTCGCGTTCATCGACGCGGATCATAGCTACGCGGCCGCCAAGGAGGACGCAGAGCGCCACAAATATGTATATACATAGATAATGTTTTTGTATATATGTACAATATAATATATAGTGTATATATATATATATGTATATATGTATTATACATATTTATATCTTTGCTTGTTTTGATTATTGTTTGGGAGGTTTTGGATTGGATTTCGTCTCAAGGAGGGCGCGTCCACATAGCTTTGGCTTGTTTCTTTTTTTTGGAGGGAGGGAGGTTCTTTTTTGGAGGAACTCGTCTTGTCGGTTTCGTTTTTTTTTTTTTTTTTTTTTTTTTTTTTTTAATTATGCGCATCATTGTCAAGAACCAAACAATCGACAATCAGCAAGTACTTTAAAATGTGCAAGAGGAGCATGAGCAAACCGTGAGCGGTTGCACCTCAAGAGCTCAGCAATTGGCTCGGATAAACAACCCACTGGAGAAGTCGGGGGCGTTGTGTATCTGGTGACGTCATTCAGCCTCGGCACGTACTGCCCTTGGTGCAGGTGTTCGCTGAGTGGACATGAGTGGACGATGTCGACACTGGCTTTGGAGTTCCTTGCTTTCGATTGGAGCAGCATGGAGCGACGTGTTGCAATATCAAAGCTTCCAACGTCCACCTTGTGACATGACGTCACAAATCTGATGTGTTGCGCCCTATCTTACTGGGCAGTGTCACACATGTCATGTGCTTCCATCATTCCATCCTCTCCTATCTCACTAGGCAATTCCAGATATTTGACGTCATTCTGTCATTGTATCCTCTTGCCGATTCCTATCTCACTAGGCAGTTTCGCACATCTCATGTCATTATGTCATTGCATCCTTTGTTGCGCTCTATCTCACTAGCCAGATTGGCACATTTGGCGTCCTTCTATCCTCTTGTTGCGCCCCATCTCAGAAGCCAGTTTCACACATTTGGAGTCATACTACCCTCTTGTTGCGCCATATCTCAGAAGCCCGTTTCACACATTTGGAGTCCTTCTATCCTCTTGTTGCGCCTATCTCACTAGGCAATTCACACATTGCATGTGATTATGTCCTTCCATCCTCTTGTTGCGCCCTATCTCACTAGGCCATCTCACACATGTCATGCCATTATGTCAGTCCATCCTCTTGTTGCGCCCTATCTCACAAATCCGACTTCATTCTACCATTCCAGTTTCACACATTTGATGTAGTTCTTTCATTTGATGTCATTCTGTCATTCTCTTGTTGTGCCCTATCTCACTAGGCAGTTTAACACATTTGACGTCATTCAGCCTTTCAGGACATCCAGCTGTGGTCTCCAAAGGTGAGGCCCGGCGGCATCGTGGCCGGGCACGACTACTCGGCTCTGTGGCCGGGGGTGGTGGAGGCGGTCCACGAGTTCGTGGCCCGGGAGCGCCTCACGCTCCACCTGGGCGCGGATCACATGTGGTGGGTCCATTGGCCACGGCTCTTCGGCGAAAAAAAAAACACCACCGGGGACTGGGGGGGGGGGGGCGGTTGGGTGGGGGCGAGTGTCTCTGGCAGAAGGGGGGGGGGTCTCTAGGCAAGGGGCGTCTCAGGGGGGGGGGGAGGCTCACTTGGGCGAGGAAACAAATGAAAGGGCCAAGGGGTTGTGCAGGTTCTAGCCTTTGGTGCCATTTGCCAAGGTGCAAGTTTAGTACATGTTTTTGAGCCATAGATTGAGTTCCTGGACTTTAGTGCAACAGCAAGATGGCTTTCTGAGTTGTCAGACTTTAGTTTCGGGCGGCCATTTTTTGTGAATAAGAAGTTGGGACGTTGGCTTCCGAAACACCTGGCTCACTTTGACTCTCTGACTCTCTGATCTCCGGGCCGTTGGTCACTTTTTGGGACCATTTTGTTTTGTGGTGAATCAACAGTTCGGACTGGTTTTTAGGCCAACCCATCTCTGAGATGGTCGGGGTGGTCGCTTTTTGACAAAAGCCCGCGGGCTTTCTGCCGCATTCCCTTTTAAGACCAGCAAACATGTTAGCAACACAAAGGGGTGCGCCGGGCAAATCACTGGTATACAGGTGGTTTGCCGAGGGCATGGAACAGACAATTTTGCCCACAACCAGTCCCAATGTCCGCTTTCGGAGCAGCATTCTGTTCGTGGGTCATGTGATTCCAGTGGTTGGTCGCCGTTGATTTGTTCCTCTTGGCAGCTTGAGCCATTGCTATTCTGAGTCGAGTTGCTTTTGCTTTTCGTGTGTGTGTGTGTCTCTTTCCAGAGTCTATGCTGGTTTTGGTGGTTCAAAGCCTCGCAAAGATGATGTTGGTTGAACTTGAGAAGTGGTTTGGATTGGTGGTTTGGATTGGTGGTTTAGTGATTTGAATCTGCGGTCCTTATAGAGGCTGGAAATGGAAAACCACCCCCTCACCAAACCGCCAGGCTCCAAGCCATCAATTCGTGCGAAGACTTTTGCTCGGGTGAGATCCGCTTCCTTCCAATTGGTTTGGTGGTTGGGATTGGCGAGATTCTCTTGGACTCCATTCTGTCCGTATGCACGGCCAATGGCTAGCCAAGGCGGTTCATGTTTCTGACATTTGCCTGTTGGAACTGACCCAAACGTTTATGCTTAAAAGGACAACAGTAGGGGGCCCCAACAGTTTTCCTTTTGGTCCCTCTTTAAACCCAAGCAGAAAGGTATCCTAAAAAAATACAGACGAGCCAAGCCGCCAGCGGCTGACCTGCGGGTTTTTTCTTCAGCGATCAAACCACTCGCTGAGGTGATGGCATGGGGCAATGGCGCGGCGCGAGATTGTTGCTGGAGTCCTGTTTTAGGTGACCCCCAAAAATGTTGCGCTTTCCTTGGATTTTGTTTAAGGGCATTTAAGAACAACCCCCAAAAGGCCTACCCTCAAAGCAGAGGCAGCCCCAGATCTTGCAGATGTCATATGGTTCATGTGCTGCATCACATCCCTGAACTTCAGTGCGAGGGTTGTGCTTTTCTTCGGCATGGCCATGTTCAACTTATCATTGTGTTGTGGCATGTTTGTTTGGTGCACATCCCCACAACTCCATGTTTGTTGACCACCCTGCAAGGTGATTGGTCGGGGTTGGATGTTAATCAGCAGAATATGGCCATGTATGGGTCTGTGTGTGTGTGTGTGTGTTAGGGTACCCCTTTCACCTTTGTTTTAAAGTGAATCCAAAATGACAAAAACACAGTTCCCCGAACTCCATGTCATGTGTATTTTGCGGTTTCACGCAAACCCAAATCAACTCTTAATCTTTATGCCAGACGGCTTCCCTTGTGGCTTCAGGGATTGGCGCGCGGTCCATGGCTCGAGAATGCGAAAAGCTGTGCTCGAGCTTCTATGGCCGCGCAAACCAGGGCATTGTACATTGGAGCCATCGCTTTGGGGGTGAGGATGAAGCTGGAGGGAAAGTTTCATAGACACGCCGACGTCCTGATGCGGTCTGTGGAGTTTCAAGATAGAGGTATCGGACACCTGAACTGAAGCCTCTGGGGGGATAGCTTTGAGCATCGGACACCTGAACCCTCACAACACACTTGGGCGAGGGATAGCTTTGACCGGACAGTTGGACAAACACTGCATGGCTGAAAGTCACAGTTGGCACGCAAACCTTCAACAACTGCCTGGCTTGCAAAGGTTCTGACGTCAACACTTGCATGGAAGTGTGGATAACTAGCGACTGACCCTTCAGAATAGCCTTGGTCATATTTAACATCGGTGGACGAATGGCAGTCTTTAATCTACTGTGTAGACAATGGCTTTGGGTGATGGTTTGTGCAGCCTACCAAGTCTGTGTGTATGCGCGCACGCAGCTGTATCGCCCAGTTCTTGAAGTGCTGCAAGTCATGTCCGCTGTCTGCGTTTCGTGTTTTCGTGTTTCACGGTGTGTAGCGGCTGTGCAGCTCCAACAGTTTCAACTTTGGCAATGTGAGCCACAATGAAAACCTGGGTAGATGAAGGTTAGTAAGGGAAAGACCCAGTCAAAAATAGTTGCGGAAATCCGCCTTTCTAATTCTTGAAGCATGGTTCTGGGTTCACCATTTTTGTACCGATCGGTTTTGAGCAAGTGACACATGTCACATCAATAACTTAAAGAGCTTGGAGCGATTTCGGTGAGATTCTCTTCGCTGTTGCCTCCAACCCGTGAGCTGCGAATCGCGGCAGCTGTCGGCACAGCTCCGCAGAGAAATGTTGCCAATGACCACAGGAGAAAAGCGAGTTGTTCGGGGCGCCAGGGTTCCGGTGAAGCCCCTGGGGCGCGCAAAGAGGTGCACCATGAAGCGCTTGGTGCATTTTGCCAAGGGATGTTAGGACTGAACAACTTTTTGCCAACTAATGGGTTTTCCGAATTAAACCACTGAAAGTTAAACTCTTATCAGGGGAGCAGAAAGCAACCGAGAAGCGCTTGGAATTTTGCGTGGTTCTGGGTTTGGTGTCATTTTCCGACTCTCGGCCATCCATCCCTTTGGCATCAGACGCACACTGCACACTTAGCACAAGGGCCAGACTCCTCCAACACCACCGCGCCGGTTACCGAAAGACCCTGTGCAATGAGTGAGGCGTGCTGAAAGCAGGTTGTTTCCTCAGATTTCCTCAAAAAGGCAGCCTCATGTTTTTGCATCGGCAACTCTGGAAAGCATCAATGTGTACACACACACACACGCATCCTTTGTCAAAGTTCGGACCTTCTGTTCGTTGCATTGGAATGGACGAGACGCCAAGCTTTCGAGCAAATGTTTTGCTGCATTGTTGTTGCATTAGGCTTGCCATCCTCGAATATGCCAACAAGCAGTGAATGCAGGCCATCTTATCTCGAGGAACGGGCCTTGACAGAAGAACCTGGCTAATTTTTGGGGTGCGAGCGCATGAGCAGGGGTGGCTATTTTACTACAAAACAGCGAGCCAACCAGCGAACGGATGGCCCAATGTTCTATTTGGGTAAAGGGGATGACAAAACCAGAATGTGGGTGTGTCTTTTTTAGGCTACATACACCCAAGGTTGTGACTCTGATTTCCCTTTAAAACCACACAAAAGGGCTACCAACTCAACAAAAATGGATGGTCTCCCTGTAAAACCACTGGGGTAAAACTCCGAAAACAGACGAGCCACCCATGTGGGGTGATCGCAGGACCAGCCCAACTGGCACAGGGCCGCGGATGCTACCTTGGAGGCGCTTCTGAACCGCAGCCCGAAGGGCTGAAGGCTGAAGGTGATCTTTCAGTAGGGCTTTGCTCCAAGGAGTACTTCAATAACTTGCTGTGCAAGCGCGTGAACATGCAGGCTTTTGGGTTCACGTTGACGTCCACACTGCCAGATTGCGCAGACCAGGCCTAAACTAGTAACTAGAGGTTGCCAGAAGCCGTGCTTGTTGGCACGAGCTTTAGAATTGCCTTCACGCAAATATATGTCGCTTGATTAAGTTATATATATATATATACACACATGTAAGTTTAAACGACCTGGCATTCTATCTGAAGCGTGGGTAAAGACCTCAGACCTGAATTGCATGGCGCTGAGAAGAGCGAAATCCCTTCTTAGAAGAATGTGTGAGTAGTGATACAAAGGCACTGATCCATTTGCTCCGGTGAGGGGCTGAGGACGACAGTGCTGAGACACAGGAAAGCAAGCGACAGCATGTCCGGTGCACCAAGGCAGAGCTTTATGGCGTCGGCAAACTTGAGCCTTTTTGGTAGGTCACCCCTCCTTCCGAGTGGATCCCAGTTACCCTTATAGTAGGTAACCCGGTTCTATTTTCCTTGTGGTTTCTATATGGCAAGGTCTTGGTTACCTACAGAACTGGGAAATTGGATCCACTGATAAAGTCCCGGATCACCTCAGCAAGATAACTGGCCAGCGATCAGCCAGGTACACAGTTGCTTCAGATCCAGCAAGAAACAAACGCACACAAACTCACATCAAACTGCACCCTGTCTTGTTGCAACTTCTCAGAAAACAACATGGTTGTATAGTAGATTCGCCGTTTCGTTGATTGTGTGTGTAGCTTTCTTTTTCGGAAACCCCTTGTGGCTCCAAAACGCCATCATATTTGGGAGGGTGTCCTTATTTCAGGACAAACCCATATTTGGAGGGCAGAACTGCGATCGTCGCGCCAGGTTGCCTGCGCTTCTCTGTGCTCGGCGGATCCAGAAGCACCCCAGGTCACCGATGGGGGGGGGAACCAGCGAAAACCCAATTTGCCTTTGGGGGTCCTGTACATGGATTCCCGATTTGTAGTTGAGGAGATATAGTTTTAGTAGTTTGGCCAGAAGGCGGGAGGGCGCTAACTTTACTCAACATTTTGGAGATCAGCCGAAAATCTGTGGGGCCGCCTAGAAACTGACCAACAAATACAGGAATCAAGCAGGCACAAGCGGTCTTCACCTCAAGCCTTCGGTTTGCCCTGGCCAGTCCAGTCCGGAAGCACTTGTAGACGCAATTGGAAGGCAGGAGTTCAGTTGCGTTGACACTGGCAATGGACGGCACTCGATCCAAGCAGATCGTTCGAAGTCCAATAGATGAAACTGTGGACACGAAATCCGTTCGCACCACCTGAGAAACCATGAGAAACCACTGGTTGTCGGTATTGACAAATCAGACCAGTCCAGGGCTTCTTGGGTGGTGCAGGATTTTGTCCATCCACAGTATGAATCCTAGAGAAAACCTGCAAGATGCACGCCGCCATGCAAGGAATATATAGGGCTAAAGCTTAAGCCAGGAGGGCCAAAAGCCCTGCGCACACCACATGCATGCAAGGGGTGCCCCGCCCTTGGCACGCTGCCAGGAGGAACAGAGACTAGCATCAGTAGGCTTCTTCGACATGAGTCCCATTTGGAGACGAACCCATTTGTTCAAAACCAGGGGAAACTTGTTGGATAGGTCCTGCAGGAAAACCAGGAGACCAGCCATGTTTACGTCCCTGATCCTTTGAAGACACCCAAGAGAGTGGACAAGGCAGTCTTCCAAACCACTGTCCACTGTCGATAGAAAGATGGCAGCTCACATTGTTCGAAAATTGGGGACACCCTTTTGGGTTGGGAGTTCGCCATTTTGATGTGTTCCGTGGCAGCCCCTTTTTGCCAGGTTCCCCATTTAACCTCTGCGAAAAGGGACCTGTTTTTTTTTCTTCTACCGGACGGGTCGCTAGTTGGGCCAGGTTTTCTATCAGGCCCCTTGGTGCACCCACAAACAAGGTGTTGCCCAAATCCAGGATTGCGACTCACCCTTTTTCCACGTTTCCCACTTCGGAAGCCCACAGTGGGTTTGTCAATCAAGTAACCCCAAGCTTGTTGTCCTTTTCATTTTCATTTACCGTCCAAAAGTTGGCACTTTCACAAAGGCAGCACTCAAACGAGCTTCCAAGGGGGTTCCCCTTGCCCAGTCGACCTTTTGGTTTTCCCAATTTGGCCCACTAGTCATGACCCCAAAAAATGAACCTTATTTGTTCCATGCCTTTTGGGCAACCGAACTACAGACAATCTAGAAAACGGGTTTAGATGTTCTCTTTGTGGATTTCACCCCCCTCTAGGTTCTTTTTTTAGTACTCTTTAGTACTCTTTTAATATCCTACAGGTGTGGATCCACAGAAGCCGCATCCAAACCGTTTCCCAACAAAGACTTTTCGTCCTTTCGGCTTCCCTTGCGCCAGGTGCTCTCCGCTTCCCTGCGTGCTTTGGGCCACCTGGCGCCGGCCTTGCAGTCCGAGGCGGGCTTCGGCTCCGGGGAAGCTGGAAGGGGAGCCACTTGGGCCACTTGGGCCATGGCTTCGGGGGAGGAAGGGGACTTTTGCGGGGTTGGGGGGATTGGAGATACCCATCTTTTTGGGGTTCATGTAAGTTTTGGTCGGTTTATATTGAGGTACCCGCCCTTTTTTGGGGTTCATGTTGAGGTACCCGGCTTTTTTGCGGTTATTGAGGTGGCTGTCTTTTCTTTAGGAGGTTGAGGTACCTGATTCAAGCAGCCATGTTGGCTTGTTTCCTGAGTTGTGCGGTCTTTCTGTGAGCACCATGCCCCTTTCCTTCGTTGGACTTGGCTTGCTGTTTGCAGGAATGGCTTTGGCTATCGTCACGCTCTTTGGTGGTCTTTGCAGCCGCGAGGTCCCACACCTGCTTCCAGGAAAGGCGGCCTCCTTTCATTTCCATTTGGTCTCCCTTTGGTTTCCCAACCACACACCGCCATTTTCGGGGGGTGGTCCCCTTGAAAGAGGACACGCCACCCATGTGGTTTCCATGTGGCAGGCTCTGGGTTCTGCATCGGTGCAGCTGGCCCGGGCGCCCTCTCGATGGGTTTGTTTGGACCTGGGATGGCCGGATTGGGGTGTGGAAGTTGGTTGGGGTGCGGGCCGGGGGGGGGGGCTGGTTTTGTTTCTGGAGCAAACCGAAGGACGACCAGTTTCGAGAGCTTCCCTATTCCCGTCTTGTTTCCCCAGGTGAAAGATACGGGGTCTCTGCCAAGATAGGCTCTGGGGTGGTTTGGAGCAGCAACCAGGGAGGCTTCCAGGGGGTTGCGAGCCTGGGGATATCACCTGGGCTTTTATTTAATCCGTTCCCCCTATTAATAAAGGTCTCCCTAATAATAAATATGTGTTTCGGAAGTCCCAAATCCGGGAATACTACTTTTAGAATAGCCAATACTAAACCAATTCTAAAGTAGATATTTTCCTGCCCGTACTCAAATCCAGCCCCATTAGGGGGACCCCGGGGGCACGTTTCCTTTACTACGGCTGTACTACAAAGTTGCGACTTTCGAGCCAGAGCTCCGGGAGCACGTTTCCTTTACTACGGTTGTACTACAAAGTTGCGACTTTCGAGCCAGAGCTCCGGGAGCACGTTTCCTTTACTCGGCTGTACTACAAAGTTGCGACTTTCAAGCCAGAGCTCCGGGAGCACGTTTCCTTTACTACGGTTGTACTACAAAGTTGCGACTTTCGAGCCAGAGCTCCGGGAGTACGTTTCCTTTGAGACCGGCAGGCTGTGCCAACTAACTAATTAGCTACAGAGGCTGGTGGTCAAGGTCAAAGGGTGCCTCAAACCAAAAGCTCCCCAAAAGCAAAGGGTACCTCCGCAAACCATTTTTATTATTAGGGTCTACATTGTCTTTTATCATTGGGGTCTCCAGTAGTAAGCAGACACACACAGCCTACACAGAACAAGAAGTACCTCCAAAACCTGCCCTCCAGAACCAGGGGACCCCTAATAATAAAAATTGTTTTGCAGGCCGGGTATTTTTTTTATTAGGGGGGGAGGGGGGGGGGGCGTCGTTTATTATTAGGGGGAAGGGATTAGGGTGCTCACTTTGGGTTGGGTTTCATAGAAAACCAATGGACAACCCTTTTTGCGGGTCCACTTTTTTGAGACAAACCCATGGGGGACCTTGTGGACAAAGTTTGGTTCTCGAAACGACCACTTGGGAGGCTCCCTATGATGCATGGCCAGTTGTGGAGTTAGTTTGAATAGGAGGACCTTTTGGTACGCTATATCCCTGATGGTGGCGATGGACCCGGACGTTTGAGATAGGAAAGTCAAGCAGCCAGGGTATCAGCTAGGAGCGGGCAACCAAAGCGTTGGTTGGGAAGCGGGGCAAAGGTGTGGGGCTGATTTTGAGCTTACTTGCACACCAATGTACGCATGGACTTGGCATGACGGGCTCCATTGCTCACCGAAAGAAGCCACTCACAAAAGTGCGCACAATGCAGGACTCACTTTTCGGAGTCAGTAGTCAGAGATATCATTTGTCAGCCCATGCACCCGGCCGCTTTCCCTAGAATGGAGCGCTTTGCACATGGCGCCCAGTTGGAGCGGAGCGACGTTGGCCCGTGCCTTCCCCACATGTCCGAAGACACCAACCCAGCATCGCTGTCTGCCGACTGGTCACTCTTGTCAAGTATTCAAAGGCTGCAACCCCCCAAACACCGGTCCATGTCTACCACTGTCCAAAGATAGGTTGCTTTTTGGATGTGTGATTTGCCGGTGAAGGATATGGGTTGGTCAAAACAAGCGGTAGCTTCGAGGCGGATTCGACGGATTTCACCGAGCTTGCAGCACATGCTCCCGTGTCACCTCCCCAACTGGAGCATCTCATGAAGCGCCGTTTGGCCCACCGAACCTCCGAGCGAGTTGGTGTCGCGTTGGCGTTTGACTCGCTCAGCTTAGCAGTTGTCGTCTTCTCCCGGGGAAAAACGACTTACGGAACAGTGTATATATGGTTTGGAAGATATTGCTTTTTGTGTGTTTGGGTTTGGCTCTGCTGCATGCCTTGCTTTTCATGAGTTCTTCGAACAATCGAGCTTTAAGCAAACTCCCCAGGCGGGTCAGCATCCTTCAAAGTTGAAAGGCGCAAAACGACCCTGTGGTCTCAAAATCGGGGACCAATTCCTTTGGGCGGTTGGTGTCCCTTTGGTCTCCCCTCAACAATATCTCAACGCAGGGTTCCTCAAAGGATTTTCCCAGCCTTTCTCAGCTGTTTGATCATCAAGTTTAGATCAGGTTTCTACATGGGTGAGTTTCTTTAGGGAACCCTTTCTGGGGGGTGGTTTTCAAGGGAAACCAAAAACGGGAGACACCATTTTGCAGGTCCAAATCTTAAACAAAAGGCACCCGGTCGCGTTTTCTCGGCGTGTTCGCATTGGGACAAGGCTTTCGGGTGCCGCACGCATGAGTCACGAGGCCTGCCGGGTGCTGGAACCGCAGTTCCGGAGCCTTGAAGGATGCCAGCTGCAGGCGCCACTCTTGCGGGGGGGTGTCTCAACATAGGAATTGAGCGAGCCCCCGTCTTGGATGAGGTGCGTTTTTTTGTTTTTTTAGAATAAGCAGAATAATATTTACACAAATCATAATATTATATATATATATATACATAGATATATATATATATATATATGTATATTGTTTTTAAACTATTTTGAGTGCGATTTTAATTCATATTTCCCGAAAGGACACCAGAATGAGATGGTTATGTTTGATTTGCCAGACCCCCTGTTCATGGTTGGTAAGAACGCGCAGGTGGTATCCCCAATAGCAACTCCTGAAACTCTCAGAAACATCCTCGCTGAAAGCAGCCAAAGATGCAGAGAACGGCGGGGGAAAACCGCCTGAATGATTCTTATGTGGCTGATTGAATCGCAAATTAGTCATGTGCATCAATGAATTCACGACCTTTAAACCGACATCACCTGTTTGTGAGTCCGTCAGCGTCGTGCGAGCGCCATGGCTGTCAGCTTAAAGTGTGCCCGTTTGGCTAGGTTCTTCATTCGCCGTTCCGCGCGCCAACTTTCGACCTTTCCTGTCGTTTGGCACGCAGAACAGGACATGGCCATGTTGGAGTTTCCAAATCTTGGCCACAGCCGGTTGATTCGCAACACAGAGCAGGGTCTCAAAATATCTGCCGCGCAAGTGTCGGGACTCAACTGGCGCATCCGCGGCTGGCGAGTCGCAAACCAAGCGCTGAACCACCGGCACTTAAGATTCTGTCTGTAGCGCTTTGAAAACCAGGACTGTTCAGAGGCAATCCGCAACATCCTTACCTTGGGTTACGTACTGGTTGCCCTTTGTAGTAGTTTCCCGCTAGGATTTAGGATTGGGATTGTCCAACCCTCCGTTTTGAACAGCCTAGATAAAAGGAAGCGCGCAATTTTTGGAGCGGGATTGGAAGGCGCGCGGCAGGAGATGATAGAACGCGGTTTGCATGACATGGCGTGTCCTGAAATAGGAGATCGCTGAAATGGGTGATGTTCAATGGATTCCCCTTCAAGGCTTTTTTCAGGAGGTGTTCAACGATGGAATCCCTTATTCTCCTCCTGGTCTCCTTTCACGGATTCAGGGTGGGTCCCCCAAATAAGGTTCCTCTACAAATGGTGCTCTTTTTTGGGGGTTCCATGAAAATCTGTGGGTGGCCATGGGTCAAAATCAAGTACCCCCAGTAAACATCCCAATCCCCACTAAAATAGGTTCTAAAATGGGTGGTACACCTAACCCAAAATGGGATCCCATTGGTTTTGACCCACAGCCAGGTATGGATCTGAGACCCGTTGAAGCCTTGGCGCAGGCTCTCCAGCTACTGCGGACCCTAGCGAGAAAGCAGCCTGCTGTGGCCGCCCAGGCGAGAAGAAATGATCGGCTCCAGGGAATTCATGGCCTGGCAAAGTTGAGGCATGGGCTGGTGAAACAAGTGTGTGTGTGTGTGTGTGTCTTTTTTTGAGTTGGTATCCCTTGTTTGGTGGTTTTACACATGTTTTTGTTGAGTTGGCATTTGTATTTGTTTGTTTGGTTTTAAAGGAAACCCAAAGGAAAGTCACCATCTTTGGGGGTCCAGCTGTTTGCTTGAGTCGCACTCACATTGGTGGAACTCCGTGATGGTTCGTTCGGGGATGACCATCCCCGCAGTCTCTCTGCCAGCTTCGTGGAGAGCCTCTTGGTTTCCCTCCAAGCCGGTCCAAGGAATGGCCTTCGGAAACAGAAGATATTTCATCCTAAGGGCTTGGCACTGTCACAGCTCCGTTCAGACTCGTATTGAGACACACACACACGCGGATAAGCAACCAACCAACCAACCAACCAACCAACCAACCAACCAACCAACCAACCAACCAACCAACCAACCAACCAACCAACCAACCAACCAACCAACCAACCAACCAACCAACCCAACCAACCAATTCGAATCCGCGGAGTTGGCCAGGGCGCCGTGGTGGCTGCCGCCTTTTCTGCAGCCAAAGATGCGGCACCTTCGGTGGACGACCTGGATGAGGCAAGTTGGCAAGTTTCACGAAACAAATGTGGGGCAGAATGTGGGTATGTGTGCAAAGTAAGGGGACCCCCCCCAACAAAAAGAACATGGTAAAAGAACAACAGCATGGTAATGGAAACTTGTCCTCTTCGGCTTCGCGTCAAACCAAGCAAAGGGCACGCAAATCAAGGAGCGGGGACAGGTTTTGTTGGCGATGGGATTTGGGCCAGCAAGTGTGACACTAGTTGTTTGGGATAGGGAGTCACTCTCGGCTTGAGGGATTCGAGACAAACGGGTGGTTTCCTCTTGGTTTCCCGTCAAAACCAAGAGAAAAAGATATACCCTCAAACGAAGGCACATATCCCACATTGGCATCATGTCATCGAGATGACAAGTGCATGGACCGATCACCTTCGGTGGACCTTCAGACATTGGTGTTGTTCTTGGTTTCCCCTTCAAGCACTCACTCCAAAAGCAGGCACAGTTGGGAGTCCAAGCAAGCCGCATGGGTGTCAGATTTTGATTTGCTCTGGGCTTGCTTAAGCTTTGATTTCGGCTGCGCTCGAGCAAGGCTGAAATGTTCCGTAGGCTTTTGTAGGATCTGATCTTGATTGGCAAGGTGTTCTGGCGCGCTGAGATTTGGCCGGTGTTGCGGCCTTCAAAGGTAATGATTGAAATGGATACGGCCATGGCGCCTTGGGTGTCCTGGACAATGCAGAAGCAAAGCTCTCGCTTCAGCACAACCAGCCATTGCCTCATTTCTACTTGCATCCTGTCGTCTCTGCTTGCCGGATCTCGCTGTCGGCGTGAGAAAACCTGGGCATGTTCATCGTCGCAGGTGAGCAACACCGCTTTGGCTGGGCGAGCCTGCTTGCGTGCGCTGGCACGGGCGAACCCGGGAAAGGTGGTGCCTCAGGTGCTTGAGGCCCGGGAAAGCCGCGCCGCGAAAAACCTCGCGGGACGGATGCCCTTTGGGGGGGTTGCTCGCATGGGTCTGGGCCAATTTTTTCGGGCCCCAAATTGTGGATTCCTTGGGGTGCGCTTGAAACCAGACCAAAACTTGGTACCAAAAAGACAGACCCAAAGACCAAGAGGGGTACCAAAAAGACAGACCCAAATCATGAACCCCATTTTTGGTTGGCATTTTTTAGCGAGCTCACCGATTCGGGTGTCAAATGAGCTGAGTGGCTCACCCATGATGCATGGTTTCCTTGAGTTTGTCTTCCGATTTGGGAGTTGTTCGCTGTTTTACAATCAGATTCCCATATAGGATTCTGGCCAAACCGACCTATGACTGATGGTCGTATTTACTATTCTTTCTGCCTATATGTGGGATTGTCGGTATAGGAATCGGTCCAGGCAATCAATGTATCACGATCCAGTTCTGAACGACTCATCAGGCTCACTGTGAGACAGAACTCCTGGTACGATTGTTGGGAGTGGTTGCTGATGTATGTGAGTGTCCTTTTTGTTGAGGGTGCCCTTTTTGGTGGTTTCAAGGGGAAACCAAAAGGACAATCACCCATCTTGGTTGTCCCCTGTCAAAGACACACACACACGCAGACACATGGCGGCCAAATTTGCACGGATCCCAAAAAACCCTATTTGGTCGTTCTTCGCGCTGGACATTCGAGCAGGAAGCAAGACCGACATGTGAAGCCGGAGGAACACTTTTAAACATCCATTCCAGCTCGGCGCTGCAGCAAACTTTTTTCTGATGGCGCAGATGGATGTCACTGATTCCCGAGTTTCCCCTGCCATCTCGCTTATTCCATGTTGAGCTGGATCTGTTTCCCTGAGGTGAATCATGTGGTTCTCAGTTGCCCAAGTTGGTTGGTCATGGCCTCAAAAGGTTGACCTTTCATTTCTGGGTCCCTTAGGAGCGACTGAGGGTTTACGCATAAATGCTTCTGGTTTTCAGCGGACATGCGGGAGTTCTGGGGCTCAGAGCATGTTTTCCCCAAATTGGTCGTAGGCAAACTATTTCAGGGTAAATCTGAATATGATACAGAATCAGCACATGTCACACCATTGTTGGTTGGTATTCGAAGGGGAATCATCATTCCAGGGTTTCTGAACGGTGGTGCGAGAAATGGATTTCGCAACCATCCACAACATGAAACTGAAGCATCACAAGACAAATCGATCTGGCGACGGGTGTCGGTTTTGGATGGATCTTTGGGGGGGTTCCCAACAAACGGACACATGGCTGTGGGTCAAAACCAATGGGATCCCATTTTGGGGTAGGTGCACCACCCATTTTAGAACCTATTTTAGTGGGGATTGGGATGTTCACTGGGGGTGCGATTTGGATTTGACCCTGCCTATGAAACAGAATCAAACCCCGAGAAGATGAAGGTTGCTAAGGGACAATCCCAACCATAAATAGGTTCGACCGCTTTCTTAATTCTTTACATGGTTCTGGGTAGACCATTTTTAATACCAGGTTTTGATTATGACACAGTGACACATATGAAACAGAATCAAAGGCAATGTGGCGACGGAAGTCTTCAATTCGCAAGGCAGTCCAGGCCGCAGCACAGAGTGCTGACGTCGGGGGCCCAGATCGCCAGATCGCGCTCAGGGCCGTTTTCGCTGAGCTTCAGGTTCTGCTTCCTCGTCCGCAAATTGGATGCCCAGAACCCGACAAGCCCAGGTAATCCCAATCGCAACATGCGGAACCTGCCCGCACCCTTCCGCGCGACGACATGGAACTCCTGGGGGCCCAGGTATCCTTAACCAACCTGCGGAAGCCGTCCGGAACCCTGCGCTCTGAAGAGGCTCCGAGTCATGAAACAATGCGGTCTTAGAGGAAGCTCCTGTTGGGCGACCTTTTCGGGGGTCTATGTGAATTTGAAGGGGGTGAAAAGCGAAAGAACTGTTTCTCTGGACTTGGCAGTGTTAAGCTCAGCTCATCAATGCTTTTGCCTTTGCTCCACAGCGCTGAAATTGAAAACAGCGTGGCGGGCATGACGTTCAACACTTGGTCATTGAAGGTCGCACAAGTGCCGTGCGAAGCGTGATTTGCAGCTCAAGTTGTGTCGCACGTTGCATGGTTCACAGTGTGTTCAAAAGCTGGAAATGCGGTGGGTGGGCTTTCTGTGAATATTGTGGATGCCAAGCGTTGCTCTTGGAGTCATGTACCTGTCTTATGTTTATCCTCTTAGTACTCGAATGTGCGAAGAGAGGATCAAGTCTGATTCCTCCGCCGATGCAAAGCGGCTTTTTCAGTACCGCGTTGAAAATATGTACCAAGCTGAACTGAGCTCCTGTTGAAAGGAAGTAGCTGAGGGGACATCACATACTTAGTTGCAGGGTTGTGGGATCAAGGGGTTTTTCCCCACTTCTGTGATACAAGGGAATCTCTTCCTTTATATGGGGGGTTAGTCTTTGGGAAGCCCTTTTTGTTGTATCACAGAAGTGGTCACTTCCCACAGCCTTGCTTAGTTGCCTCAGTCTCTTGTACCCAGTAACGTTTAACGGCGTGGCAACCCTGTGCATCTAAGGCCATGGATCGAGCGGCTGCGGTTCATGCGGCGCGCTCCCTGGATTCTCCGTGGGTGCCATGTTCAAGAGGGAAGTGTCTTGTGATGTGTGAGGGTTTTGGTTTTAATGAACTCGCATTGGAATAGTTCAGTAACACACGATGTTTGTGGCTTAAAAATAATAATTTAAAGCAACACCACGGAGTAGTTCAGCAAGATTTGACGATGTCATACACGCTGCTAAATGTACATGGTGATCATCGTCTCCTTGCCATGTGCTAAGCAACGGTGACAGACCCGTCGACATTGCTTGGCAAGATGAGTTATGGATATAGGTCACAGAAGGGGAGCCGATTGAAGTCGTGTTTTCCTTTTGGTTTCCCTTTTAAGCCAAGGTGAGCAAAGCATATAACCTCAAACAAGCAGACACCCCCAATCAGCTGCTGTCTGCATTTGCGTGTGTGTGTGTGTGTGTGTGTTGTGAGTAGCATCGGCCTCTTTATGTTGGTCTTCTGTGAGGGAGGTTGCCATGTTGCAGAACTATTTCTACATTACACAGAACTATTTCCCAAGGTTTTCCTAATTTGTGGGGAGCTATTCCTATGTGGGGAAATGTGGGAACCTCACAAATGACTGTGTTCCTCTTAGTTTCCAGGTTCCGCCAACCTTAGAAAGGGCACCATGAAAGAAGCACAATCCCAGCTTGGACCTTGTGGTGTTGTCAACAATTCTAGCCAGGCCAATCCCCCAAAGTCTTGGCCCAAAGTAGCAGATTGCAGATACAGCAGTTTACAGTTGGTCACTGAAATCGGGGTTGCTTGATGTTGCACGGATCTTCGATGCTGCAGCATGATGAGGTTTAGACCAATTTGCATTTGCAGCATGCAGCATGGATTGCAGACCAAGGATTCCAGCCAGAACAAATCGCTGGTGGAGCAGGGCAAGAGTGCAAGGTTTGAGGATGCAGTGTGACCCAAACTTAAGGATGCAAAACGCAATGGAGTCAGACTGGTGGATTGCAGGCGTTTTGGGTGTGATCCTTGCCCTTGCCATTTTGTTGCCACCAGTTTTTGCAGAGCGTTTGAGAAGCGCAAGAGGCGCTGAAGTCGGCCCGCAAGAGTAGAGTGCAGGGCGGGAGGTTTTGAGTGTCAGAGTGTGACTTAAAAGGGATGCAAACTAGCCGACCCCAACAAAAAACCGGCGCTTTGTGCTGCAGCTTGCGTTGGCTGGTCAGTAGATGTGTTCCATGCTAGTGCTCGCTGTGAGCAGTGAGTAGCGGAGGTGGGAAGAAAGCTGCGACCGCTGACATCTGGATTTTGGGCCATTTTAGGACGCCTATGGACCAGTTTATGCATATCATAGCCTTGGTACTTTATTTGGTGGTGCATTTTTTGAGCTACTGTAGGACCACTTTTATGAATAGTTCCTGGAAATTTGTAAGTAGTTGTGAAAGATGTTGACAGGCTCACAGACAAAGAGGCCAATGCCCGTCCCAACGTGTGTGTGTGTGTGTGTGTGTGTGTGTGTGTGTGTGTGTGTGTGTGTGTGTGTGTGTGTGTGTGTGTGTGTGTGTGTGTGTGTGTGTGCGTGTCTCCGTGTGTTTGCGTGTGCGTGCGAGGGCAGTTGCTCCGAACCGAGGATCCGGAAGTTTTTGTGACGTAAGCACGGTTCACAGAAGAAGGTTGTATGTGACCTAAACGTTTTTGTGAACCAAGTAATGTTTTGTGGTTCTGGAATTGAACCACAATGCCAACTCTATGAGAAAGGCAGCGTAGCTTGGTTCTCCAGTCCTCTCTAGCGGACAAACTGACTTGTTCAATTTGGGCCAGAAAAGAACCTGATTGTTGCATAGCGCCTTCTGTCCTGTGCTTGTGTAAAGTAAATACCTGACAGCCGATCAGTTTGTGCTGTGGTCATTTTTCTGGCCAGAGACAGAGTTTGGAGTTGCACCTCTGTAGGCAACGGAGGTGTTCGGGTCATGACTAGCTCCATGACGGGGGAGCACGCATTAGCCGTTGCAGGCAGCACGAGCTTACGTGCTGTAAGTCCTTACGAGCAAATGCACCAAAAAACACTAGCCATTTTTTGGGAGTACCCCTATTTTGAGACACACCCCTATCAAGGCAGTGATGCAGATGTGGAGTAGATCGGCAAAAGCCGGGCCGTGAACCTGAAACCACCTGAAACCGCGGTGAGGGCGGCGTCAAAAGACGCCGAGAGGCTGGTCTCAGAAATGGCGTTCATGCAACCCATCTCAAAGTTGTATCTTGCTATTTGTCCTCAGCTTCCAGGTCGATGTGCCCAAATCGGCGAGGGGTGTTTTGTGGCAAATTTTCAGCCAAGGTTTCGGAAGGTTCCATGGAATTTTCGGGGCTGTTGGGGATAACCTGGGGGGTATTTTATGGAGACGTGCCTTGAAAGGCACAGAATCCAGAGCTCTTTAAATTTGCCACCCAACTCTGCCGTGCAGCTAGGTCGCCTTCGCTTTGTCCGGCGCGCGCGAGGCTGGGGCATGCGATCAGAAAAAAACAAGTTGTGAAAGAGTGTCGCCGCCATAGGTAGCCAAGGGGAAGCCGAGCAAAGCAGACTTGCAGCCGAGTCAATGAAGCAAGCAGGCAAGTGCGCATGCCGCAAGAAGGCCTGCCTACAGGCGGGATGTGTTGGGGACAGATTCTTCCATTTGTTGAAATGATTATTTTGTATTTCCACTTGCTGGTTTTAAAGGGAATCTATCACCACTGGAAATATTTTCCAGGGGCTTAAGCAAACGGATTTATCAGTGGATGAATAGTTGTCGGCACGTTCACGTGCAAGCTGGGTGTGTGTTTTAGGGGGCCGGATATTAGGGAAGCTCAAAGAAACAACGGGCATTCGAGGGCTTCCCTATTCTATGCCACACCCATCACAATGACTTCCCAAAAGAAACCGTGCTTTAAAAACGGAGTAGCATGCATTTCTACAAGCATTCTCATTTCATGGTGACAAAACGCCTTGGCTTCGGAGGCTTCCAATTCCTTTGGTTGTGTTTGATTTGTTGCACCCTTGGCTAAAAAGGAAACCACGAGGAAAACCACGAGGCATTTTTGGGAGTTCCCCTTCTTGCACTTGAGTCTAGCGTCGGCTTCAGGCGCCCCCTGGTTGGGCAGTTCCACTGGTCTGACGCCCAGAATGCGGGACCAGGTACTTGGGCCGGCGGAGTTGGCAAGTGGCTTGGATTTGTGGCTCCACTTTCTGTTGACATGTTCGGGCCAATGGAAATTGTTGAAAGTAGGGTAGGGCCGCTTCCGCCAAGGAGTTCCCAAGATGCGATTTGTTGTCTGTGTTTGTTTTTCAATGGACATAGCCCAGAAAAGGAGAGGCCCTGGACCTGCTTTCCAAAAGTAGGGGCCGTAACACTTGAGGACGGGGTTGGACTCTATTTTTGTGTGACACGCAAGGCTTTTATTGGCAGACATCAGCTAAAATCCTAGACCTGTGCAAGTTTGTACGTGAAGACTGCTCTGCTCGACATGCCATGCGCCTCTTCAACCCGTGACAATCAGACTGCCGGATCGCGCAAGCGTCAGGAACATGTGTAAGACCGACACGCTGCGCCAAGATTAACAACACGGTATTGGTGATATATGCCGAAATATAGCAATTCTTATTTGAAACAATATGAATCACCATATCTGCGACTTACACTAGCCGAATTGCCTTCCCTTCAAGCAATCTCCTTATTCAAGCGGCCGAGGAGAAGCCGCGCGTCGAAGCTCTCTTTTGCACGTCTGTTTTGCGGCCTCGCGACTTGCCGAAATTGCAAAGTTGAGATCAAACAATCGTTCGCATGTTGATCCATGTGTTCTGACTTGTCAAAATGGCAAAGTTAATTCACAAAACTGGGGAGACTTGTGTTGAGACTTGAGACAAAACCGGAGCTCGCAGGAGAGACTTGTGTTGAAACTGGGGCGGGTTGAGCTGCCCTAAGTCTTATTGGGGTGCTCCTACCTCGCCCCAGGGTGTGCCACTCACACCCCGTCATGTTGGGGTTTGGAGACACCTTGGGGCTTCTTGGGGCCTCCAAGATTTTAGGTCCACGCCCCGCGACACCCCGAAAACCGGGGCTGGCTGACACTCAGTGAGGGTCCAGGGGGCAAGATAGGAACATCAATGAAAGCCATTTCCATCGGCTGCGGCTGTCCAAGCACAAACATTCGCGGTAGCAACTTCATGTCTGCGGCTGTGCAGCAAGATGTGCAAAACCACTGTTGTCAGATTGAGAATTTGAGCGGTTGCCTGCTCAGAGCTTTGACGAGTTAAGGTCCATGAGGTTCACTGCGCCCTCATACGCCAGCCGACGCCAACCAACGCCAACCGACGCCAACCGACGCCAACCGACGCCAACCGACGCCAGCCGACGCCAGCCGTCGCCAGGCGATGCCAATCGACGCGAGCCGACGCCAACCGACGCCAACCAACGCCAACTGACGCCAGCCGACGCCAACCAGCGCCAACCGCAGGCAGCCGACGCCAAGACGCCAGCCGACACCAACCGACGCAACTAGGACTAACGCCAGGAAGCCAACCGACGCCAACCGACGCCAACCGACGCCAACCGACGCCAACCGACGCCAAGACACCGACTGACGCCAGCCGACGCCAACCGACGCCAACCGACACGAAGCGACCAAGGGCGCCAGCCGACGCCTGTTCAACCGACGCCGGTCAACCGACGCCAACTGCCGCTAACCGACGCAAACCGCCAGCGCCACCCCCCCCCCCCCCCCATCCGGCTGCAGCTCTTTTCAGGTTTGTCAGTGGCAAACACGCGACTTCTCGAGACAGCAACGCAGACACCAAACACAAATTGGTGTAGGGATCTGGTTGAGTTATAGTTGCTGGTGGTGCAACCTGTTGGAGTTGGGAGTTCTTCCTTGCAGGTGATGGAGGGGGTGTTGCTGGGGATGCTGGGTTTGGCATCAGCTGGCGTAGTTGCATGGCGTCGGTTGGTTCGACGTTTCGAGCTGTCGGTCAGCGTCGGTTAACGTTGGTTGCCCTCCTTTTGCGTCAGAAAGCCGTCGGTTGGCGTCAGTTGGCGTCGGTTGGCCTTCTTTGGGGCTTCAAACTTATTACATTTCGACGACCCCGGCGTCAGAAAGCCGTCGGTTGGCGTCAGTTAGCGTCGGTTGGCCTTCTTTGGGGCTTCAAATTTACTACATTTCGACGCCCCGAGCGTCAGAAAGCCATCGGTCGGCGTCGGTTGGCATCGGTTGGCCTCCTTGGGGCTGCGAAGTTACGACGCTTCAACACCCCGAGCGTCGGTCGGCGTCAGTTTGCGTCGGTTGGCCTCCTCAAATTTCGGGATTCAACAATCTACGCCGTGACGCCGCGAGAGTCAGAAAGACGTCGGCCCAAAAGTGATCCCCTGACAGAACCCCATTTTAAACAAACCAAGCGCCATGCTCTGGGGTCGGTGGATTTTGCGGATGGGCCACGCGGTGTCATGAGACCTGTTTTGCGCTTTGTTGACCATCTGCTGTTGACCTGTATGAGGGGCTGTTTCATGATTGCTTTTTTGACTATGCAGGGCTTGGCTGCAGGGTGGCACGGATCGCATCACCCACGACATCTGCCGCCCCCGAGTTCCGACAAGCTGGCAAAGCTTTGAATGGATCAGCGCATACCTACTTACGCAGAGCAAACGTTTTGTGTGCTCCTAACTCCTCGACACGCCTAAAAGGCTTTTTGCGACTGGCAATGCGCCAGTGTGCCAGCCAAAAATTGGATGTCGCAGCTGCGCTTGATTGTCGTAGCCTTCGCCGCACTTTGCGTGCTACGCGCCCGCCGATTTCTTCAAAGGCAGAAGGCAATACCCTATTATTTGGTTGGCCGCCGTGTTTTGAGCTAGATCAAGCAGTTCCTATTTGCGCGGTCATACACAAGCGTGTGCTGCGAGCATGATGAACGCCCAGTCTTGTCGCAGGCGCAGATTCTCAACACGGCACGCTGGCTCAAAACCGAGCTTTTGTGGCTGCTCCTGCCAAATTCCCACCAAGCCGTTCTTTCTTTAACTTTGCGCCTTTTTCAGCACTGAGCATGCAAAATGGGACTGAGTTCACGATTCTGTTTTCGTCACCTTGAAACCCTGGCTGCGACTGGTTAGGGTTTCACGGGGCGAAACAGGCAACTTCGCGCGCTGTTGAGGGGAGAAATGCAACTTGTGCCTATCAGGCAAACGGAGGCACAGGGAGCTCCTGCAAGTCTTGCTCACCCTTCCCGTTGACGCCTATATTCGACTCCTAAGAAGCTCTCGCCTAGTAATTGGTGCGTTACATGAAAGCGAATCATTTGGGGCCTCGCAGGCAGGGGTCGAGAGTTTGGGGGTGTGTTGGGGTGTGGGTTGTAGCTGGATCAAGCGCAAGACCCCGAATTGGTAGTCTGCCCTGTGGTGAATCGGGAGCGTTAGGGTGCAAGGTTTTCCATGGCCTCCAGGCCCGAGCCTTGAGCGATTCCGCGGTCTGGGTGCGGCAGGCGAGGCAAAGAAGCGGGTGCGAGATGTTGCTGCAGCGATGGGTTTGTTTTCGAAAAGGTCCCCCAGTAGTGCCCTTCTGTCCCCGGAGGGCCCAGAAAAGGAGAACCTTGGTTTCTGGGTGAACCAACAGGTTGCAATGCCCGATTTTGGGAAACCAAGAGGTTGCGATACTGCCAACCCATCAGAAAAAGACGGGGGTGGTTCCATTTTGGAGTTGGTACCCCTCTTTTTCTGGATTTAGGAAACTAGAAGGAAAGGGTCCACAGAAAAGCGGCGCACCTTGATATTTTTCCTCAATAGTATCCTTAGCATTTTAGTTTTTTCAGGTTTAGTGGGGGCTGCCATGTAACGCACTAAAAGTTAAAGTTTTAGCAGGGCATCGAAGGACAGCCCAGACACCCAGAGGTACCTGGGTTGACTGCATCATGAGTTTCTACGAGTTCGTCATCGGGAGCACTTTGATTGCGAATGTTCCTGAAGAACCCTGAAGATCCTTTGTTTGTTAGCGGATATGAGATGTGCGAAAGATGGGCAGACCTCCAAACAATCGGACAACATGCCAGTATTGCCACTGAACATCAACTATAGACTCTACAAGCTGCGTAGACAGAGGTATTGCCTTCGCTTTTCGTCTTATCTTTGCCTAACTATCTCTCAACTATCTTTCATTATCTCTCTCTCGCTCTCGCTCTCTCTCTCTCTCTCTCTCTCTCTCTCTTTTTCTTTCCTTTTGTGTTGGCAAATGTTCTTTCTGGAATGGAAGCATTGTAACTTATGACAGTCAGCTGTGTCTGCACTGGGGTGAGCAACTCCAGAGTCAATTCCGGGCAGTCCCGTTCCACTCTCCCATCAGTTTGCTGCTTCTATGAGGCTGCTTGGAATGAGGTTTGCCTTGACTGCCAGGAGTGCTTTGGATGACATCTAGGGGAGCGTGCTGTTTTTGACTTCGTGGCACGCTTCAGCTTCAGACAGCTACTGCTGTTGGCCGTACTGGTGGTTTGATAGCTTGCCTCTCAGCAGCGGCAAGGCCGCAGGTTCCCAGCACTTGCGCTATAGAAGCCTTCTGACCATGTTGAGTATTCCTTGTGACGCTGGTCTATCAATGCGCGGGGTGTAGCTTTGCAACGCCCACTGGCAACAGCCAAGTGGAGAGACACAGTGTGTTTCAGTCACCAGGGTCATGAGGTGTGCTTCAGTTCCGCGTTGTCGATGGAGAGACGATGGTGAGCGCTTGTCATGTCCCTACCCACGCCTTGCAAAGACTGCTCGAAGCTCATGCTCTCAGTACCTGGGAATTGATCGCATGGAAACGCTCATATTTCTGAGATCTGGGGATGTTGAGATGCGATAGCTACTTGTAGCCAAGTGTAAGAGGTTCCAGCACTCTGCAGAAGGTGAGGGGAGCGCCATTGAGAGAGAGAGAGAGAGAGAGAGAGAGAGAGACGGAGACAGCGACGGAGACGCATAGTTGCAGGGGTTGATTCCCCATTCTTTTCAGCCATCGTTCTGTTCAAAAACCAGCCATTTCCCCAGGGTTTTTGGTGGTTCTCTAGAAAGATTCAGATCCCTGGAAAGAATGGAGAACTTACCCCTAGAATAGTTTGATCACTCGAAGGCCAGCAACCGCCAGGCTACCTGTGAGGGTGCAGTTCTGCTTGCAGAAGAGCTCAAGCCGTCGCCCAGCGTGACACAAGGCCGGAATTGATGGGGCGAGTTGAGACAAGCGCAGGGCCTTTGTTAAAAGCGTGGAAACCCATGACGAGGGCGTCCAAATGTGGGCACCGCCTTGGAATACTGACGCTACAAGTAGAAAATACAGTAAACCAACAAAGCATGCGAGGTCACAGAGAGAGACAGCCACAAAAGCACAAAATAGCATGGAACCCCTTCGTGTGCTCAAGATCCCTTCCGAAGCCGTTGTTTGCTGGGAGACTGATTCAAGGCGAAGCTCCGCTTTATCAGCGCAATATTTGTGTGAGCTCCTATGCGTGTGTTTTGTATGAGGGAACCCTTTTCAGGTGGGTTGAAAGAGACACTCCGAGGACGACCACCAGTTTGGAAGCTAGTGTCAACCCAAAATTACGTATCCCTTGTTCTAGGGGGTTGATTCCGTGTCCATTCTTTAAGTGGCGATTCTGTTCAAAAGTTGGTGCCCTGATTCCGGAGGTTGTCTATGGATTCATCTGGAAGGCACCGGACATGGAAGGCACCGGACCTGATGATGTGGACGAATTCCATTTCGCACCATGGAACGCTACCATCGTTGAAACCATTGCTTGTCGTTTTTTTTAGTGGGGAGTCATCATGGGATTCTTTGGTGGTACCGGATTTCAGCCACAGCATTACCCTATGTCAAGGACTTGCCACCCCCCAAGAAAAGAAACAACTAAGCGAGCGTATTATCCAACGCATACTCATCTGAAATGGCACGAGCTGCATTCTCTTCTCAGGCAGTATGCTGTGCATTTCTGAGTCACTTAGTCACATGACAGGCATCCTCATGAGCCGAGCTTTCCTAAAATCAGTGAGGGATTCTGAAAGCGCGACTTTATTTTTACATGTTATTATATATATATATATATTTATACAGCATCCCCTAACAGCCCCGGAATAACCTGGAACCCTCTGGAACCCTCCCTGAAGCTGCCCAAACCACCCCAGAGTTTATCTGGGCAGAGACCTTTCAGCTGTAGTGATGGCTTGGCAGGGTCACGTGAGGTACCCCACATGAGGGCCCTACACCCCTATGCCATCTCGGCCCAAACCACTCTGCGCTCCAAACCAAATCAATGGCAAACCACATCCAAAACACAAGCGGCAGCTCAAAAAATAATTGCGCGGAAGCTCCAGCAAAATCGCATGGAGACTCAAATCCACATAACTAGATCGAATGGACACTCAAATTCAGTTCCAAATCAAATAAACGGCATATCACATTTAAAATACTGAAACAGATTCAAACTCAAATATTATAATACTAGTCAAATGGATACTCAAATGAACATCTCAAAAGGAAGCTCCAGTAATACCAACTCAATTGGAAGCATGGAAGCTCCCCATGAAATCCTAATTCTAGTTCAGCAAACAATCTTCAAGCAGTCACGCCCGCACGGCCTAAAGTATGCCCCAATCCGCCCCCCACATTCTTCCCAGGACTGACCCTTCGGGGGGGACGGGATTTGGCCTTGTCCACCTTGTCCACCTTGTCAGCTTTCAATTTCGTGCTGTCACCTACTTGGAGTGACTCAACTCCTCTTTTCTTTTGAAAAGCTTGTTTGGGAGTAACCTGTGGCAAATTGCTCCCCTTTTGGAAAAGCTCCCTTGGGAGTAACCTGTGGCAAAGCGACAAGTTTGTTCCAGCCGTGACGTAAATTTTCTTTATGCAGGCTTGGACCTGTTGCTGAGCGCTCTGCTGGAGCTGTTGCCCCGGGAGCCTCAACATGAGCTCCTCGAAAAGGCGAGTCGAAACTCGCAGTTGGCAGGGAGTTTCCTGAACCTTGCGTTGCAACCCGAAAAAAGAACAAGGGGGGTCTACGTCTACCCTAGGGTTCAACCCTCATTTCTCGAATGGTTGACCAAATTTGGATGACAAAGCTTAGGTAAACGCTTGTTGGTTACATGAACCCCAGTTTTGGAATGCTGGTTTGAATGCCGGGATCCTCCCCACGGAAGGGTATGTCACCTTGGTCTTCCTTTGTGTGGGGTTTTTTGAGGGGGTCTACGCCGAAGCGGGGGTAACATCCTGAGCCTCCACATGACAAAGCTCAAGTGGGCAGAAGGCGACTGACAAAGTACCTCCTCTCAAGCGCCTCCACGGAGTCTACACGGTTTTTGCTGAGGCTCAAACCGTGCACAGCATTGGACTTTGGAGGCGGTTCAGGAGAACAACATAGCGCCGGCCTGTCTTCAGTCGCCCGGCTAAACTACTAGGCCCCCCAATAGTGCCCGTTTACCCTTTTTGGGGGAGGGTTCCCCTACTAAAATTCTCAAAACTGAAAAAAGTTGGTACCAACTTCTTCTAGCCTCTCTACTGGGGGACCGAGAAGCTTGTTTCTGCGTTTCGGAGCCAAAGTTAAGCCCAAGGCCGCGTGCCATGTCTTAGTGAGCCGTGGCGCCTTTCGTTGCGGGTGGCAGGTGAGCATGTTCTTTCCTCCTGGAACGCCCATTTTGAGAGAAGGGGCGACACCTGCAAAGATGGTCGGGGCCAACAACGGAGCTGCATGGCGGGTTCTTGACTCATGTCGGCCCAAAGGACCGCAACTTCTTCGAAGATCACTGAAGAAGCTTCTTGACTGGGCTTGGGCTCATGAGTCTTATGAGTTTGGGCGGGCTCGAGCTGCCTTCAGCAAAGGACACCTCTTGTCAGTTTGGCGCACTGCCACGGAGCAAGCTCTCACAGGTCTTCCGGCCCTCAGCATGGGTTGCTCACACTCCCCCCATTCGCGTCACTTGAAGCGGCAAGGCAAGGAAGATCCAAGTTGCACAACAAAAGCGAGCCAAGATCTTGCAGTCTGCTCATAGCCTGTGTGTTGCTCCAAATCACTTGTAGGAAGTCGGCTTCACGGTTTGTGGACAGCCTTAGGACATAGGGCACCCACTCTCGGCCACATGCACACGGGCTGAAAGCGATGCTCCGGAAGCCCAGCGGAGATCTTCAATATTTCACCTGTTGGCTTCCCCTTTTTGGTCCGTAGCAGTCATGACCCCAAAAGGTTAACTGTTTTTTTTTTTTTTTTTTTTTCTCATGGGTGCTTTGTGCAACTCAGTCTTAGGACAATTGTAAAGATGAACTTGAATGAAAGGAATGCTATACTGCTATGCTTAGTCAGTCACGCGCAGAAATTGGACGCTGTATGATCAATTCAACCGAGCTGCGTGTTACGAGGAAGGCCTCGCCTGACCAGGAAAGAATCAGGAAGACCCATGGAATCGCAGACTTGGCCGCGCAACGGGGCCCGGTTTATGTAGTCGTCGTGGTCATCCTCGGCCTCCCAAACTCCCGCAAAGATCTTGGGATGTGTCAGGGTACATGTGCATTTCAACAGCGCCAGTTTGTGGGGGCGTTCTCAACATAATGCTCCCCTAAAACGGTTTGTTTCCTCTTGGGTTCCCTTTAGCTGCCAGCTCAAAGGGGGTCCGCCATTTTTAGAACGCCCCACAAGTTGTTGGGAACTCCTGCGACATAGCAGATTCTTGGCCCAACAGTCTTCGCGCTAGGCTGCCCTTGCAGCGAGCGCCATTTTGGAAGAGTACTCCACGGATGAGGCAAACGGGATGGCGCTCGGGATCTGTGCATCACCCGTGTCTGTAGATGGTTGTTGTTTTTTGTTGAAGCACCCCCCTTTTGCCGGTTTTGAGAGAGAGAGAGAGAGAAAGAGACCAAAAACGGAATGCCGTTTTTGGGGGGGAGGTCCCCGAAACAATGCCATGCCCAGATGTCCTCAAGGGATCCAAAATGTTGAAGCCTTGAGGGTGGAAAACCAGCGTGCGGGCCCAACTCCCCATGCTGACATCTGCCCAATTTGCATATCAGCTTGTTCGTTCCCGTCGCAGGGGAAACTTGTCCCGCCGTGATTGGCACTCTGTCCAAGCCTCAGCCTCACCGAACCCCTCCTTGTTGCCGTGCGTGCTTGCACCTGACGATGTCTTTCTTGCGTGCAGGATGACTCCAGTGTGAAGAGGGCCGTTTCTAAGGATTTGAAGCCACCACCAGTCGGTGAAGTGGATGATATGAGGTAATGTGTTGCTGCCGCAGTCAGCCGGAATAATATCCAGGGCTTGCCCCATGTTGGGGTTTCCCAATTTTTGACCCATGGTTCCATGGGTGCTTCCATGTGTTTTTTGTTTGGTTCCCCTTGGAACACAACCAAATCAGGCAACCCTCAGTTATTGGTTTGGATTGGTGGTTTGGGGATTTCAGCCCTTGGCTTTTGTAGAGGGTAGATGGGAAACACCTGCAAAAACCACCAAACCACCAATTAGAGGGCACCTGACCGCGGGTGCTGCTTCGCTCCATGTTGTTTTGGGGGGTTCCCCTTGGAACACAACTGCTATGTTGGGGTTACCCTATTTTTGACCCGTGGTTCCATGGTGTTTGGTTTTTCGGGAACACAAACAAAGGCACCCATTTTTGACCCACCGCGCCCAAGTGGCCGCACGGCTCGAGCGGCGAACACTGGCTTGGAACTCGAAAGGCGGCGGCGGTGCTGCCGAAAGCGCCGAACATCTTCCAGGCGAATTTTCCGCGGCTTCCCGTCGGCCCTTGACAAAAAGGGTCGAGTGTTTTTTCGAGTTGCTGCATGGCTATCGACACCTAAGTACGCACCTTATCCGCAACACGGTATTACCTTCTGCATAGCTCCGAACAGCAACGTCCCCACCCCACCCCTTTTTGTGGTTGTAAAGGGAAGCCTTGAAAGGCACAACTGTTGAACCATTTGGTTTTTGGGGTCTGACTCCCAAAACAGGACACCCAAGTTTGGTTCCCTTCAACTCAGGCTTCCTTGTGCACCCTTCAATGGATTCAAAGTCGGTGCAGATCCAAAGTCGGTGCATGTGCTCCTTGGTTTCTTTGCGAACATTACTTGCGGAGGTGAACCCGGAGCTGTTGGTTTGGTCTGATCCTTTGGAACGCACGAGCTCTTGCGGCAATCCGTGTGCTGCTCCACGGATTGCCTCAGCCCCAGGGAGGTGGATTCAGCGGGTCAGTCCCAGGGAGGTGGATGCGAAGAAATGTGCTGCGATTCAGGACCTGGGCTTGAGGTTCCACACGTGGGTTCCTCACTTCCTGAGTTCATAAACTTTAAACTTTTTGGGTTTGGACCATTTTAGTTTGGACTTTTTGTGGGCCATCCACTCAGCCACTTAGGTTCGTGTGTTTGCAACCCGGATGGCATTGCACGAAATCTGTTGTGAAGCTAGCCACTCCTTGAATGCACTGACCAAATGGCCACTCATTCCAGGCATGCAACATCATGGTGCGTCAACGGGAAGGGCTTGCTGCCTCTGCCAAAACACAGACAAACATGCATGTGCGTTTTGCCAACAGTTTGTGCAGCTAACGTGCTTTGCGTCGCCTCAAAATCGCCCACTTTCTTGGGGGGAGGGGGGGGGCGGGGGCCGGTTTGCGTGCTGGCCTCATGCACACCATCGGTTGATTGGAAGCGCAGCAAGCCACCCCCGTTGACCCATCAGGTTGTTTCTACGAGAGTGGGCGCTAAGTCGAACTGGTGGAGCTCAAAGGATCTGGATTTTCCTCGGGATGTTTGATCAGATTGAAGCAGATGCAGTCACCTAAGCTGGAATTGGACCGTAAACATTTGCTTGCCTGAGGCGGAAAAAAAGGACGTCGGAAACAACTGGCCCCGGTGTCGGAGTTTGCTTTGTTTGACCTTTGACTGGGCTGTTGTCCCCCGTGGGATTTTTGCATGAGATCCCGGACAAGTTCCGCTGGCAGTCTAGCTGGCGCTCAGCAGGCAATGAAGGAATGACCCCTACAAGCCATCCATCCTATGGTTTTATTTTATTCGGGAATCCCCTTCCGGTTCATTCCCAACACCAGAACTCGGTCATTTCCCTACCTATCGCAGCAGCACCTAAAGTGATTCAGGTGTTGTCGAAGACACCTATCTCGTTGGCTTGACTTGTCAGGGCTTCAGGCCTACGAAAGCCAAAAACCAGCAGACCATGTGGGTAAGTGTGAACCTCATGTGAGCCACAATCAAAGCCCGGGTAGATGCAGGTTAGTCAGGGGCAGTCCCAGCCAGAAATAGTTGCGGCCGCCTACTTAATTCTTTACATGGTTCTGGGTAGACCATTTTATTTCCGGGTTTTGATTGTGACGCCCATGTTGGTGTGGTTCTTCCTTTCGTTCTCCTTTGCAACAAACAACCGGGTACCGAGCCTCAACAAAAGACGGGCCACCCATGTGGTCCTTTTCAGAGAGACGGTTTATTTTTCCTCGTGTCATTCTCTGCGAGGCGATGACCAAAGTGTCACACGCTCTGGCAAGTGGCGTGGTGGCCAAGACTTCTTCTTTGTTTTTTGCGGGCACCACCTTGTTTGCCCAGACAGATGGCACCAGGGGACAGCAGGTGTTAGTCCTTGTTTCCATTTACCAGGGCAACCCATTTTGGGCAGAAACATTGTTTTGATCCATACCCCGATTTGTCGCTGGCCTCTTGCAAGGTCTGTCACTGCTGCATGTGATTGCTTCTCGCGGACATGTTTCGGACTCTGGGGGTCTTCAATGGCAAGCCAAAAGTTGGTTGGTTTGCGGAAATGAATACGTTCATTTTCTCCGGGTTGGTTTTAAAAGGAATCCATCGCTACTGGAAGTATGTCTCATTTTTGTCCAGGTGACTTAGGCAAATGGAGGACAAGTTGATTGATTGGCAGTCCCGCAAACAAGCTTGCGGAAAAAGTGAATCAACAGCCATCACTATATATAAATTATATAGGTAAGTAGATTGGCCCCCCATTCCCCTTGCAGGCACTCCGAACAGAACAGTTGCTCCACCGTGGCAATGCCTCTCCCTGCCTTCCTGCGCCGTGTGGTTGGCGTCTTCGCAACACCAAGTGAATTTGTTGAGCTGGATGATCGAGGGTTGCTGGATCGATGCTGAGAAATCCATTTGCCAACATTTGCCGGAAGCAGGAGCAGGATACAAAGTGCCTAGAAAGCTTTCACTGAGGCGACGCAGAAGCGCGGCAGGAAGGGGGCAAGGCATTGGCTGCGTTGGCGCAATGCCTAACCAGCTTGGCAGCGACCTCAGTGTGCAGTGGCTCATCTGAGCGACAAGCAAAACCTGGGCAAATTCGAACGAAGGTTGAGAAGGGACAGTCTCATCCAGAAATTGGTGCGGAAATGCTTCTGGGCAGGCAGGTTTTGATTGCTCAACTGATCGTGCCGCACAGAAACAGGGCTGAGGGTATCCAAGAAATGCTACCGGAAAGCAACTGAGAGCTCGCTTTTATTCGACCCGTTGGTGGCACTGGTCTTGGAGACTGTGAAAAAACAGGATGAACGAAATCCATTTTTCACCGGTCAAAAACCCAACAGAATGATTCGCTTCCCCAACGTAAATAACAGCCAACATTATGGTTTCGACCATGGTTTCTCAGGTGCTGCGGTCTCGGACTTCGCAACCATTCACAGTATGGGCTCTGCACTTTGATTTGTGAAGTGCGAAGCTCTTGTCGAGTTCAGCTGTGGCAAACTCCACACCAACACTTGCCATATATCAAACATTGCGGCGCCTTGCTTGTCCTGATTAGGCCGGTCAGTGATTTTTCCTTTGACGCTCACAGAAGGTGAGCGCACCTCTTCAGGGCTGAAACTAGCTCACTATGTAGCTCCCGTGCTTGGGGTTTGAACATTTCCTAGTTCCGACTTTTGGATAGAACGAATCTGCAAATGGTTCTTTGTATTGTGGGGAAGTCGAGCATGACTTCTGGATCTATCAAGGAACCCAGGAATTTGGGGACCTGACGTGCAGGCAGCCTACTGGCCCTACCCATAAGGAAATCAAGAAACCATGGCAGTCTTGGAGGTACATATGCAAGTATATATACATATATTGTTGTACATATATATATATATGCATATTGACGCATATACAAATATATATATACATATATATATATATATGTATGTACAAATATATACACACATATATACACAGGTCTATATATATATATATGTACATATGTATATATCTACACATACATGGGGGGGGGGCATGTTCCAGCCGCCCTCCCCCCCAACCAGCCCTCCCAGGCGGGCGCCTGCGCGGATACCTTCGCCCCTGCGGCGCCTGAGGCGGCCAAAGGCCTCGTCGCCTTGGCGCGGACGCCCGGGTTCGACGGCGAGCGAGAGGGGCAGCTCCGGTGCGGGTGGTTTCTTGTGACTTGGGGGGGGCGGATTTCTATGGCTTTTGCAGGTACACCACTTCCCACAGTAGTGCCCTTTTACCTTTTTTTGGGGAGGCCAGGGTTCCCCTACTAAAATAGACTGCAGAAAAAAGGGTACCCTTATTCTAACCTCTCCTCTGGAGGACCTAAAAAACTTGATGCACATATATTTATATACTGCATATATACATACTGCCAGTGGTACAACAAGCATCCATACTTTGGATGGTTGCGAAATCCGAGACCGCACCGCTTGGAAAGCATGGTCCGCACCATAACGTTGGTTGGTATTTGCGATGGGGAATCGAATCCTTCCGTTGAGTTTCTGAGCGGTGGTGCGGAAATAATTTCTCACCATCCACAGTCGTGGTTTGTGGTTGTCGTTTCGGTTTTTCTTTAAATCCAACCGGGGTGCCATCAAAAAAAGACAGATCCATTGGGTGTGGTTCCTGCTTTTGGAGTTGGAATCCCTTTGGTGGACGGTTTTACAATGACACCAAAAGGAACGCCGAAGCGGCACCCCTGAAAATCGGCACACCCGTCTCTTGATGTGGGACCTTCGTTTTGTTTCCCTCCGTCTATCGTTTTCAACTTGTTTTTCTTGCACATTCTTGCACTAGGTTTATAGAGAATCAAGCACAAGGATATTTCCATTTTGATGACGGACGATAAACACCTTGTTCATGTTGGCTTTTCGGATGCCCAAGGCGCGGCTTGGAACGTGCATGGTTGGACTATCTATGTGCTTCTCTGGTCCGCCAAAGGGTCCATTTCTAACATTCGCCCTGAAATCTGCTTCTGCGGGAATGGCTCACGGGTCATTTCATGCTTGCATGTTTGTTGTTGGCGGTTCTTGGAGAACCCCTGGAACAACGCAACGCAGTGCATGGCACTCATGTTTCACAAGAGGGATCCAATTTGGACCTTCCATGGAGTCCATTGAGACAGCGTACTTTGCTACGCATTGAGTGTGGATCGTGTTTCCGGTGGTGATCCTGGTTTTTCTGAATCTCTAGGTCTGGCCCAGTTTAGAAACTCAAAACTCATGAGATACATCTCCGAATGCTTTCAGGAGATCTCAGGTTTCGGATAAAGGGATGGTTGCTGCGCATGGACATCCTGTCGTTGATGATTGGTAGCTTGTCATTTTTTGTCAAAAGGTTTCCTCCCATCCCAACTGGTGGATGTCTCCACGGACAAGGCCCACACCTGGGCACAGTTTCTCTTGCGAGCTTGTTTGTGGGGCATTTGGGGGAGGACAGGGGAGACTATCTTGTGCTCTCTTTTTTTCAACAAGGGTGGACCTAGACTAGTGCTGTTGCTTCATATGCTTGATCCTGTGCATAGGAAGTGGGAACATGTACAACTAGCCACCTCCACGCAATTGTGCCAGTTGCGCGCCTGCCATACCGGAGGCTGGGTGCGAACGTGTTTAAAAGGGAGATTGGGGCGTTGCAACACCGGCACTTGCCGGTAGCTCTTCTTTTTGTTGGAGGGTTCTTTGGTTTGTTTGGCGGTTTCAAAGGCTTAAAGGGAACGCCTGGAAAACCGGTTGCGCCATACCCATAGCACGGCATCACAGCTTGGTACCTGCTCAGTGCGTAGTGATACTCTGCCGTGATCATTGCTTTACTTGACAGGTCCGTGCCCTGAAGAGCTCAGGAAGTGGGTACTGCCATCCATGCCGACCATCCAACGAGAGTCTGAGTTTGCGCCCTCGAGGTGATTGGTTTATTGCTGCATTCTACATGAGAAGCTGAGTCCAGCTCCAAGTAGAGCTGTCGGACCAGTTTGGTTGCATAGTGTTGGCGAAACACTTCCGATCGATCAGCTTTCTCAAGACTGAACACTCGGATCGTGAAGTGTACCCGATGCCTGACACTGATTGCTTGAAAGATCGCTGGTTTGTGTTTGCCGGTCTGCAGCAGTACCCTCTTGGTGCTAGCTCGGCACACATGCGCTACACGCTTCAAGGCTTCTAGCAAGAACACTGCCAAGAAACCGGCCAGCTGCGCAGCCTCAGCTATCACTGCCCTTTGAACACGGCTTCCGTTGTGAACTTCATACATATCAGTGGGTGAGTAAGAATCCCATGGCTGCCAGCTGCTTAAGGGCTGAGCAGCAAACTGTCGATGATCGTGGATGTCGAAGCAAGCTGTGATGCACAATTCATCTCAGAGTTACATGTCATATCCCGGTCAGTTGAATTTGAATGTTATTCGCTGCGAGTTTGAGCTGGATGCATTTGGTTGGGGCTGCTAGCTGGCTGAAGGTTGCAAGTCTGGAGTCATACCGTGACTCCACGCGAAGCGAGCGAGGCAATCCGGCAGCCAGCGGCCAAGCGGGATGGTTTTCGGGCACTGAACCCTTTGGAAAAGCGAGTTCTGGGTCAAAATTAAACCACCAGGATATGGACCGCAGGTGGAATCGTGAATGTTTCCACTTACCAGGCAACCCATTTTGGGTACCTATTTTTTGACCCACAGCCGTTTGAAACAGCAGAAGGAAAGCAACATGGAATGGGAGCTCAGCAATGACATGGCGACATGGCTTGGTTTCCCACATCTTTCTGAGCCACTTTCCTAAACATATTTCAAAAGAGGGGACGCACTTGACGTCCGTGTGGCATTTGACATGTGCGGATTGGCTCCCGTGCCGGAGGTTGCAGCGGGTCTTTATGGGCCCACGACTTTCTTGACCAATGTCATCTCACGGTTTCTTGCAAGCCTTCAATTGGGAAGGGATGTATGTGCATCTATGGGGTGCTACGTGGTACCTCCGGATGAACGCGTCCGCCTGCTGTATGTCCAGAGCTGATTCGGCCTTTCCTCCGCATATACTGGACAACATCATTTGCAGAATGCAGCAACAAGGCTTATTGACGAGAGAAATGAAATGCTGCTCAAGTGCTGACCTCATGGCCCAGTGCAGGCCAAGTCAAGATGCGGACAGCGCCGCTGTTCCTTAGGAACCCATGTGATTGCAAATGGTTTGCATCGCCAAAAATCATCAGCTACTCAGCTTCCGGGGGGGGACAAAAACCGCGAGCTGGCCACCAGAGATTGTTTTTCTCTGGAGCCCCCATGTCGACTGCTCGCACGCTGTGAGATCGTTTGTCAAGCGAGCGCTCTGCTCATGGGCTGTGTGCGCAAGGTCACAGGCGCGGGGCAAATGGACGGTCTTGGCACACTTGGGGCCGTTTTTTTTGTGGGTTGCATTTTGAGGGGCTCGAACAAAACTCGTAGGGGTACCACCGAAGTGACTTGTAGGGGTGGGTACGAGTTCAAGCGACCATTTCTCCTTGAGTTTTGATGATATCACTTGAAAGGCACCGAGACTTCGCCTTGGGAGGTTTGGAGCTTGCTTACACTGGGATTTCCTGAGGCGAAGATGTCATGACAGAAGATGAGTTCGCAGACTGGTGGGAAGAGCGTGGCCAGCAGCGAGAAGGCGGCAGTTGGTTTTTTGATGTGCTGAGACGTGACGTCGCCGCACGCTTGCACACCAATTTTCGGCGGCTCGCGTTTGCGCAGGGGGAGTCTATGCTGCAACCAGACAGCGACTGGATCAGATCGGAGCTTGTGGTGGTTCTGCGGCCATATCTCACCGCAAAGGGAGCCTATCTGATCTACTCAGAACTGAGGCACGCGGCTGGCAACGGGGATGCTGCGAAGGTTGCCAGGCTTTTGGATCTGCCTCTTGACCCGAATGCCGTGAACAGTTCGGGCAAGGCGGCTTTGCACCGGGCGGCCGAGTTGGGCAAAGTGGAGGTCGTGCGATGCCTGCTGGAAGCTGGCGCTGAACACGACAAGGCCGACAAGAATCTCAGTTGTTCAGTGGCACCAATTATTTTTCCTTTTCTTTTTGGTGGCTGCCCCACTAAAAATGGTTCCCAAAAGGGCTCCCTTGTTTCCCAGGGTCACTGAAGAGGAATGGGCTGGTGCCACTGCACGAGGCCGCCTTGTGGGGCCATCCGGAAGTCATGCGCGCGTTGCTGGAAGCAGACGCGGATGCCAGCAAGACCAATTCGGGCGGATGTACGCCTTTGCATTTTGCTGCACATGGCGGCCATGACGGGATTGTGAGTTTCTTGCTCGAAGCTGGCGCTGACCAGAATAAGGCTGACAAGGCTGGGCTAGTGCCAATGCATGAGGCTGCCTTGTGGGGTTTTCAGACGGTTGTGCGTCGCTTGCTTGAAGCGGGTGCTGATGCAAGCACTGCGAACATGGATGGGCAGACGCCTTTGCATTTCGCTGCCTACGCTGGCAACGAAGAAGTCGTGCGTTACTTGCTAGAAGCTCGCGTCAAGGACGAAGCCGACCATGTGGGGCGCACACCCTTGCATGAGGCCTCACTGCATGGACGTCTGCAGGTTGTGCGCTGCCTGGTGGCCGCTGGTGCTGAGAAGGACAAGCCGGACAACGACGGCTGCACGCCTTTGCAACTTGCCTCACGCGGCGCCCATGATGGAGTTGCGCAGTGCCTACTGGAAGCCGGGGCTTCTTGGGAGAAGGCAGACAACGCTGGGCGTACCTCCATGCACCACGCTGCACTGTTTGGCCATCGGAAAGTCGTGAGTTGTTTGCTGGAGGCTGGCGCTGACACGGACAGGGCCGACAATGACAGGCGCACGCCTTTGCATGATGCTTCCAAGAACGGATGTCTGAGAGTTGTGCAGTGCTTGCTGGATGCTGACGCTGACAAGGACAAAGCCGACCACGATGGCTGTACACCTTTGCAACTTGCCGCTCGAAGTGGCCATGAGAAAGTTGTAAAGTGCTTGCTGGAAGCCAGCGCCGCCCCTGATGCCGCCAACATCGATGGCTCTACGCCCATGCACCAAGCTGCCCTCTTTGGACATTGCGGTGTTGTGGGCTCCTTGCTAGAGGCTGGCGCTGACAAGGACCAAGCCGACCATGCCGGCCGCACCGCCTTGCATGAGGCCGCTGAGAACGGCTGGCTGCGAGTGGTGGGTTGCTTGCTGGCCGCCGGCGCCCAGGACAAGGCGGGTGTGGGTCCAAATCAGACCACTAAAGGACCGCAGGTTTTAGTCCATGTTTCCAATTACAAGGTTTCCATATTAGGCACCTATTTTTGTTCCACAGCCAGGCCGACAAATGCGGCCGCACGCCCCGCGATGTCGCCGTGCAGTTTGGGCACGAAGGCGTCGTCCGTTGCTTTGAGGCCGGGGGCTATGATGCACCCGCACAGCCCAGGCGGCAGAGTGAGGCGAAGCGCAGGCGAACCCTGGCTGCGTCTGGGAATTGGTGAATGCTCAAGTCTTGAGATCACTGTGGTTGGCCATTTGGAGCAAGCGGATCGCACACGCCATTCGGACCTTTCTGCTTCTGAGGCCCTTCAGACATGCCGAAAAATGGCGTCTTCATATTGCAAGGGTCAGCATTCCTGGTGGAATCTGGTGAGTTACCCGTTTTGGCTGGGTTTTAAATGGAAGCCAAGAGGAAGCCTAGCAATTTGGGGTGTCCCCTAAAAATTGGATATACCCATAAGGAAGTGACCTCTTACAAACTTTACAGAGTTGTCTGTTGCTCATATTAGATCACTTGTTTGCCCGTGTTCTTCAACGTCTTCCTGAGACATTATTGTCCTTGCCTGGAAGTTCTCATGACAGGACTTTGCTCAATGGTAGCGTGACTTTCCAGCGGCTTGCTTGGGGAACTTGCGAGGGGTCATTGGGAAATGACCTGGTCAGAGCCCTTGTACTAGGTTACTCATTGTTTTCCAGATCAAAACGGAACCTCACAAATCATGTCTAAGGACATCTAGGGATTCTAATATAGAGACCTTGTTGAGTTGAGGCTGCGATGGGATTCACAGGTCTCTTGTTTGATCGCTGCATTCGGAAGGGCGCTGTTGAGTCGTTGTTGAGTCTTGTTCAAAGTGCGCTTTGACATGATATGGATATGTTAGATCAGGCGGCGTTCGATTACCGAGGAGCCCCAAGCAAAAGGCTTGTACAAAGGACCAATCAAGTTTTGCTGTGCGTACATGCTGAGCAGCGTTTGTATGCATGCTGCATACTCTGTGGTTGTAATTGTCCACCTCCATCAGAATCATTGCTGGGCCACCCACTACTCTTTCTTCCAAGGGTGTTCATAATTGTCTCCACTTCAGGAGGTATGTGGGCACCTCAAAGAAACAATATGGACCCAAAAATGAGTAAAGGAGATTCATCTACATTTGCTTGTTTTGGAGCAGAACCACCTGTTGTGGCAAGTCTTCCTGTGAAAATCTCCCGAGATACAGTTCACTGCCTGTTCCCAACACAATTCCTTGGGTCTTATGCACATTTTTCAAGTTCTCACGCGCAGACTTGAATCAGAGTTCCTAAGTCGAGCTCATTTCATCTCAGCGAAAGTGGCAGTCTCGATGTTGAAAGGAAGGAGCAGAAGCCATTCCTGGCCGGCCGTTTGAGGTAACACCTGTTTGCAGTTCGGGTCCTCAACCCATCACTTGCACCATCGGACCAGCCACGAAAACCAAACGACCCCTCGCGGTTCGCCGACGTGACTCCCGTCGGGTCCGAGGTCTTGGCAGCGTGCTTGGAGGCGGCAGGCCGCTGCCTACAGAAATCGCACACCCAGCGGGTGACCGATGCTCTGCTCCAATGCGCGGCTTTTGTTTGGAACCTGGTTTTGGCTGTAACTCCCCAGTTGCCCAGTTGCGCCCCTTTTTTCCGCTTCTTTTTTGGGGGGGGAAGGAAGGGGTCCGCTTTGAACTCACCCAACAAAAGAGGGGACCCTATTTTTCCCATGGCCACTGGACATCTGAGACTCGTTTGGCCTTGCGAAACAACAAGTTGCTGGTTCTCAACCGGCAATGAGTCAATGAACCCCTATAAACCATCCATCCCGTGGTTTTCTTTATTCGGGAATCCCCTTCCGGTTCATTCCCACCACCCAGACTCGGTCCTTCCCTACTTATCGCAGCAGCAAGTCAAGGCTATTAGGCCGGACAGGTGGAGGAAACGAGCTCAAGTGCCATGGTGTTCTATGAAGCGCAAAGGTAAAATCAGATCGAAGCGATTTGTTTTTGTTGGGTCGACTAAATGTGAAACCGACTCAGAAGGGTGATTTTTGGAGCAGCCCAGTGAGCTTTCTGTTGCAAACTTGTGGCGCAGCGGCGCAAAGCGAATCGACCAACGCCTAGTGGCTTTCCTCTTTTGGGCAACCCGTAGCAAAGGTGCAAGGTGCTTCCCTATTTCCAGATTTGTTTTTTAAAGAAAAGCAAGTGAGCTGGTCTTCCCCCGTATTCGTTCAAATCACGGAGAGAGAAACCAGATCACTGATTCTCTGTGTTCGCTCAGACATGAGCAAGAGAGAGAGAGAGAGAGAGAGGGCAGAGGGTGCGGCTTTAAGGCTTCGATGACCCTCTTTAAGAACCAAAAGGAAGAAAGCAGGTTACCTACTATAAGGGTGACAGGGATCCACCTGGGTAACCTATGGTAGACTAAAACGACTAAAGCCCAAGGGTTTCACCGGAGAGATTCACCGCTGGGGTTAAGTCTACCTTGTAGCCGACCATTGGACTCCGTCTTTCTTTCGAATCTCTCGTCACCTTGTCTATCCTGGTTTGTTGCCCCAGTCCAAGCGTGGAAGGACATGGCCCTTCTTCATATGCCTTGGGTTCCAACTCACTTTATATTATCGGCATATACCCCTTTTGGGGAGAGGATATGGTATGCCCAAGGGGCAGGTAAAAGGGGTATGTACAACCCCTAGGCATCCAATCGGATGACTTATGGGATGGGGCTCAGACATGAATCCAGGAAGGTGCGCTGAAAAGGACTTCTATGTGCCGCGGTCAAAAGACTTTGTTTCCTCGGGTCAGGGATGGTCATACCAGAAGGACATGGCAGGTGCAGTGATTGCCTCAGCTTGGTCGGAGCAGAGCTTCCAGGGGGAGAAGGAGGAGCGGCTTAGATTGGGGCGGCGGCTCACTTGGCGGCCTGTTTCCCCAGCAAATTCCCCGGCGCGAAAGACGTTGGCTGGCACATGTATTCCCCAAAAGTCCATCGTTTTTGTTTTTTCCTTTTGGGGGATTAGCGCTTGAACCATGCTCGCCCTACACAGCCAGGAATGCGGAAGAACAGCTAAACATGGTTGGAGAAAAGGATGACTCTTAGGGTGCCATTTTTTAACCACGGTTGTTGGGAAACATTTTGCATTTTTGCTTATCGTGGTTTAGTGGTTGAAATCCCCACTTAACTGCTAACATTTCCATGTTTGCTCCCCTTCCATCAACCAAGATCAGCATGGATGTTGTGCTTGTCAGTTGGCTATGCAAATCCCCGAGGCTGAGGCTGAAACCCACAACAGTGCTTCCAGAAGTGGAGACGGAACAATTTGGAGCTTCAAAATGTGCCCCGGTTTCCCTGTAGTTTCCACTGAAAACAACCCCAAAGGCGTACAATCCAAAAGATCACACACCTGTTCTGTTTCTTACTCCCTTTGCACTGGCCACGACAGACTGCCCCATGCCAAAGGATTGTAGCCGATCTTCATGACTCGGCGGCAAAGGCGGATTTCATCGCCAGAAAAAAGGTTCGCAGAAGTTATGGAAACGGAAATCACATCAGCCACAATCAAAGCCCAGGTAGATGAAGGTTAGTAAGAGGCAGTCCCAGCCAGAAATGGTTGCGGCAGCCTTCTTAATTCTTTACATGGTTCTGGGTAGACCATTTTAATACCAGGTTTTGATTATGACTCACATTTTGTGACCGCTGTGAAAGCTAGCAGCTAGCGTGACTTCCCATAGATTCACGCTGCTAGCGACAGAGATTACTCCTGCAGCCATGCGAGAACTGCTCCTTTGAAAAATGCGGAATCGGGGAACTTCGACCGGATGCCACAGGTTGCCCTTGCCCGCCTCTGAGTAGGCGCTTTTAGCTCCTGACTCCATGGCAAACAAGCCGCACCCATCTTCCCCTGTCGGTTCACTAACAAAGGTCAGCTAAAAAGAGCAAGGATTCTTCAAGGAGCAAGTCTACAGCTAACGGGTGGACCTCCAGCGCTAGAAAGGAGACTTGAAAGGGCCGAGTTTGCTTCAACTGACGCCTCGTTTTTTCACTATTCCTTTCGTCAATTTGATCGTCGGTCTTGCCTGTTGTGCCGGTTTCTGAGGATCTCAGTAGATTATCTGGGTATGAATCAAGATTAAACCAGGATCTGGACCGGAGTTCTTGTCTTTCTTTCCACCAGGGCAACCCAGAATTGGGGGTTACCAACCTCATTTTGACAACCACGCCCATGCTGGTCAACCGAAATGGAGGAGGCCCATTTCCAAACATAACAAAACATGTCTGAACCCCCTGTTTTATTATTGGAATTGTCATACAGATATGGGCACAGCATAGGGTCATTGGCGTTGCTGTCTGAGAGTTCCGTGGTGTTGCCCAGAAAATCAAATCATCTCCACGCCCGAGTTAGGAGCTGGCCGCGGCGGCGCGGGCGGTGCTGCTGGACCGAGCTGCGCCCACCGAGGCCGGGTCTGGTGGTGCGCACGGGCCGAAAGGCGAGGCCTCGATTTGGGTCTGGTTGCCCTGTAGAACCGCTCAAAAACTGGAAGAGTCTTTAAAAAGGACAGACCCAGTCAGGTGTGTCTTTTTTGGGGGCGCCCCCCTCCCAAAAAAATATAGGTGGCTTTCATTTCTTTAAAGCAGGCCAAAAAGAGAAAACACACCCATTTGTCTAAGGCTGGCGGTAAAGTCCATGGGTTTGACTCCGTGTTTTGGGGGTTGCAAAGCACACACATGGGCTTTATTTGCCGGGTTCACCCCCAGTCCCACTTTAAGCACAAGACGCCTACTTTATCACATTATGTCAATGCATTGATTCACCTTCCCACATGCATGTGCACGTGGTTTTCTTTGCCCACAAGCTCACATCTCTTCTTTTTCCGCCCCCCACCCCCGCCCACTTCTTTTTGCTTTTCCGCTTTCCCCAGCCCCAAGCAGGCCATGTCCGCCTCCCCCGGCTCCCTCCCTGTCGCCTCCCTCCCGTCTGTCCAGGCGCGGGCCAGCGCCCACGGCTTCTACGGCCGCTGCGCCATGGCGAGCTTCGAGGACTTCGGCCCCAACTTGGAGCTGGCCGGGGCGCCCGAGATTTGGAGATTTGGCTCCGAGCCGATTTGGATCCGATGAGGTCCGGTGGTAAGCCAAAGGGTGTTTGAGCTGAGGCTGTGCTGCGTTCAACTCGGTTTTGGGGCGAAAGGTCCGGTGGATCCGAGGGGACGCCATGTTGAGGGTGGCCATGTTGGTGCGAAGGATGCGAGCTGCGGGTGTGGCGTTCCTCGGCTCCGGGTTTTGGCGCGCAAACGCAGTGGATTCGAAGTCAAAGGGGAAGCAGGATCCGATCCTTTGTGTGAGCTGAAGGGAGATGCGGGTCACGGAGGGTGTGGGGTTCCTTGGAGTCCCGTGGTAAACCAAGGTGGGAAACCTTTTAGAGGTACGCTCAGATCGGAGTGTGTTGACATGGTGCCATGTCCAAGGGAGACCCACTTCAATCACCAGGGACTGATCAAGAGGTTCTGGTGGTTGCAAATGAGAGTGAGGGCCAGGGCAAACCTTCGGGTTATGTTCGCAAAGTCAATAAAACTGACTTAGCACATGAGAATCGTCGAGGTGAAACAAAGCGGGTTTTGCTGAGGCCAGCCTGCATGTTAGCATGTGGCCTGCAATTTGTCCACTTAAAACTCGCCTTCGCATAGCAGGTTGCCAGGCCACCGATTCCACGCCCTTGTTTGTCCAAGACAAATGATTTACACATTAAATTTGCTGTTTTGACCCAGATCATGTTGGCCGCTGATTAACAACCCTCCTCCCCCCTCCGCTTGCCCTTGTCGATTTTTGGGGAGGCTTACCCATTGCGCCGTAAACTTTCGAGGAAGCTGTATTGGCAACCCCGGATTCATAAACCCCTGGTTGAAAATTTTATTGGGGGGTGTCCCCTTTGAGTCGGGACTCAGACCGAACTTTTGGAGGGAGCACCCCCCCCAACAGCGGGACGGGTTTCTTAATCCTGGCGACCTTGGAGCGGGCGAATCCGATTCGAATCTGGGCGTCCCAAGCTGGGCGTCGGTTTTTTTGGAGCTGGTACCCTGTTTTGGTTGGCTTCAAAAGGGAAACCAAGAGGACCACAACCCATTGGGGTCCACACAAAGCCACCAGGCCCATGACTCAAGACAAACGCATAGCTGCACTGACAGGCCAGCAAGCAAACTGGATGCTTTATCAACAAAAAATGGCCCCTCTCCAAGTGGTTTTCCGTTTGGTGTCCCATAAAAAACCATCCAGAAGGCATAAGCTTGACTGCTCTTCGGTTGGATCTTTAGACTTTATGTTTTTTGGAAATCAAGGATTTTGTTTTCCACTAAACCCCCCAAAAGTCAAACCACTAAACCCCCAAACAGTGAACAACTTTTTGCAGGGGGGTCGTTGCAGCAGCCAAGGTTTGTTCCTTCCTCGAGGGGGTTCCCTTTAAACCAAGGGCCAGCAAACGAGTGCCGCCCTTTGTCCGCTGGAGTCGGGGCATGGAAATGATGAATACGCCACACCTCCAAGATGCAGGGTCGTTGCAGCCACCAAGTACTCCGTTTAGTGTCCCATAAAAGCCATCCAGAAGGCTGTTTCCCCACCAAAAAACCGAAGGCCTTTGGGACGCGACATTTGGCGCTGAGGTCCTGCCGCCGGCGCTTGAGGCGCTGCGTCAGGAGAGCGGGGAGCTGGCGCCGGGCTCAGCCCGCCCCGGGAGGTGCGCGGAGAAAATCCGCCGGCGGAAACGCGAAAAAAGACGCCCCGGAACCAAAGAAAAGGTGTTCTTTTCCCGAAAAGAAGCGACTTTCAGATGGACTGCTTGGAAGTGCGCCGGACTTTGGGTGACTTGGCCGTCTTGCGATGGTCCACGGCCTAAGGCTGGTGGCCGGTGGCTGCCCTTGATTCGAAGAGTTTCTAGGCCCCAAGCGCCGGAGAATCCTCCCAGAAACCGGGCGTCCAGAGAGGGAAAGCCAGATCTACACGGCCCGGGCCATGTTGCACCTGGATGGATTGAAGTAGGAACACGCAATGGCAATAGCAGGCCTATTCGAAAAGCACAGAATGTGTCGCCCTTGGACAACAGAGGGGTATGTCGTTTGGGAATCTCTCAGAAATCGTAGTTTTCTTTTGGATTCCCTCCAAAACCGCACAAAACGGGACCATCAAAACAGGCCCAGGGTTGATCACAAGGGTTTTATTGGACATTGACATCATGGATGTATGCGCAAGGCCGACGTGCTCGTGTGAAGATTGCCTACATGCATGCGGGATAGCCAGCAATAAAGACGCACAGCTTCTTCATCTGAAGCCCAGAGGACGGCTTTGCGTCATTTCGTGTTGCTCGGGCCTCCTTGCATATACACTTTCGTGTTTGAATTGTATGCGAGCTAGGCGGAACTTGCATAAATCGGTTATTGCCAGTGATCACAACCAATCTTGGTGTGTGTTGGCTCGACCTCAATCTACGTGGCGTTTCAAAGATGGGTCTTTCCCCACTAGGCAAAAGATCAGTGTTTCTTGCTGGTTCTCAGCAGGGAATGCGAACTGGAATGACTTCTATAAACATCCAACCGGTGGTTTCCTTGAAGGGAATCCCCCAAACGGTTCATTCCCAAAACCCGGGCTCGGTGATTCCTTGCCTATCGAACCAGCTTCAAACCCTACGCCATCGCCGAGCTGGCGGCCGGCCCAGGTGAAGCATGGACGGCGGCGAGCCGTCCGCACGGGCGGGCACGAGGCTCGACTTTGGCCGATGATTTCTTTTGGTTTGTCAATTAAGAAGAAGCCGGCTCACTAATTTAAACTGCAAATGTGAGACCTTCAGGTCCATGGGGACTATGGGAAGAGCGATGCGAGTTGACAGAGATATCAAGTCTGACTGCACTGAGAAATAAGGTCAAGGGGAATTGGCGAGCGGGCTCACAACGTTCGGACAATTAAATTAAACCCCTTCGCTCGACTGCATTCAAGGTGCCTGAGGGACACAAGTTTGCTAGGAAGGTACACAGATGGAGGAAACCAGCGGGTACCTATTCTTATGAAGCCGAAAGGTGAGGTGATCTTGTTTAGATGACTACAGACATTGATTTGACCCCATTTGTCCATCTTGGGCAGGACTCTCTCTCCACGTAGCTTGATCTGACGAGTTGCCAGTGCCATTTCTCATAGCTTGTGTCCAGTCGGCGCATGCGCAATCGGTAGCATGGGTGATCATTGCTTGCGCGGGAGAAGTTTCAAGTCGAATCTGAAGGGCCAGTCGTATTACAATTGGTAAGTTATCAACTGGCCATTGCGGTGTCAGCAGGAAATACTCAATGCATCTTCGTAAGTTGCAGTACTAAATGTAATGTTCGATGCTTGAAGGATGAGTCACTTGGGGTGGAGGTCCCCTCCACCGACCCGTGAACCTTCATGCCGCAGGAGCGCTTGGCAGCAACAGAGGCGATCGGCAGCTATGCGGCTGCCTGCTCCGCCAGGCGGGGTGCGTCAGATGGGGTGTCGTTGTCGGAGGGGTCCCTTTCCTGGGGTGGGATTGAATGGGCCCAATGGTAAAACGGTCTTTTAGGGCTTCCCCACAAGACATGCCCATTGTGATGATTCTACAGTTCCATTACTGTTAGAGTGACATTGCATGTGTATGACGATGTCATGATACAGCGCCACAATACGCATTGACGGTATGTGTGTGTGTGTGTGTACGTCCAGTTTATGTGGGTAGATATTGACTGGTCAACACCTTCGAATGGGTAGCGATTGAATTGGTTCAAGCACCCAACAGACATCTTCTGGAAGAACAACAGAGCTTTGGCATAGAGTCCTTGGTAAGCTCCATGTCCTTTTCTGCAGCCTGTATTGCACTGCACTTTTACACCGCGTCAGCAAGAGTGTGTTTTTTGTTACATAATTTGTGTCCTGTTGGTTTCTTTCTGAATTATTGAATCATTTATTTGGGCGCTTGGGCGCTCATCATTTGTGTCCTGGTTTCAGAATGAATTCTTGAATCCTCGGTTTGGGCGCTTGGGCGCTTGGATGCATCCACCCACGGCTTCGTCGATTCCTACGGGTCGATTCGCCCAGATTTGCGCCGCACCTGCCGGCGGCGCTGCCGGCGGTGTGCTCGCAGGCGCCCGGGCCCGGGTGTTGCCTTGGGGGGCCCGATTCAATGCAAGGCGTCGCAACCGGGAAGCGGGGTATATCGGCAAGCGGCAAGCGGGCTTGTACAGCCCAGGTTCTTTTTAGGAAAGAAGAAAACAGCAGACCAACACCAAGGTAACCCTTCTTGGTGGTTTGGATATTTGCAGTTGTGGTTTGAGGATTTGAGCTCCATGGTTCTTGTAGAGGGTACATGGAAACCTACTCTTAACCACCAAACCCCCAATTCAAACCACCGATCTGGAGGAAGCTAAAGGGTGGGACAGCGCATGGGTTTTGGGTAAACTCCTTGTGAGTGATCAAAAGATCCGGCAGACATGGGGTGACCAAATTCGGGAAAGCCACTAAACAGATTTGATGTTTCAACCGCATGGGAAAAGTGATGGTCATTTTGGGGCCCTAACTGAAATATTCAGCATGGGGGGTGACCAGGGAAACCACCAAAGATGATTTCCGCCTGGAAAATTGACTTCCATTTTTGGGGGCCCTCAAAGGAGGGCGCAAAAGTCACAGATTACCCCCTGGTTTGGGAAAAGTGCTTGTCATTGGAGGGAGGCAAAATTTGTATATTTCCTACTTTGGGATAAGTGATGGTCATTTCGGGGCCCTGGAAGGAAGGCAACGTATATAGACCACCCCCTACTTTGGTCATTTTGGGGCCCTACAGGAATATCAGATTGAAACCACCAGTTCACCACATGGCTGTGGCTCAAAAATGGGTACCCAAAATGGGTTACTCTGGTAAGTGGGAACATGGGTACTCAAAACCTGCGGTTTGCCCCCCCTCTTCAATTTTGAGCCACACCCACATGGCACAAGTCGCCCCCCCCCCCCCCTCCCCCCCTTCGGTCACCTGGCGACGCGGCAACCCGACCCAGCGATTTGCCAGGCGCGGCACCCCTGCAGCGAGGTCCGCGCTGCCAGCGCGGAAAGCCTGGCGCGCATGGGCCGGGCGCGGCAACCCGGGCCGAAACGCGGCAACCCGGGCCGAAACGCCTCTAGTTTGGGGTAGACTTAGGATACATTTTACATTTCACCTGTGGCTCAAAGTGAAGCAATCACAATAAAACATACATGCTACAACTGGTCCCCGCTCCAATCATGTGGCTGTGGGTCAAAAAGAGGTTCGCGAAATGGAGCCCTGGGAAATGCAAGCCTCCGGTCTGCTGCTGGTTTCATGACACAAGAAGCAGAGGTGTACTTTTGATCGGTGTTTTTTTGCGCAGAAGTAGATGGGTTCCACTGGTGTAGATGGGTTAAAGCATCCCTTTTGCCCAAAGGTCAGCTATCACACCCAAGAAAAGCCATCCCCCATGTGGTTTCCTAGGGAACCCCCAACGCCGGTGCATTCAACCAAAACGACCCATTGCACCAGCAAGAAAAGCGTTGGGGAGTGCTGGACGCAGGGGCTCGCCTTGCCCAACTTATGCAAGGCGTCCACCGTGGGTTTTGGAGGAAACTGGAACCCAACTAAAACTGTCTGTAAAAAAAGAAGAAAAAAACAACATACGTCACACAAATGTGTTCCTTCCAAACCATGTTCCATCAGAAGTATTTTTTGTTGAGTGTCTGCCGACCTCCAAAACCCCAAGTAGTTGAGAGACAAGCAGCCGGACTATGGCGGATGGACAAATTCTTGCACCAGTTGGTGGATTATCACCCAGTAGTCACAAGGCTTCGTCCATTCCTAGAAATCCTGCACCAACCCCCACCGGAATCGAGGGGACCAAGAGGAAACCAACTTCCTATTTGAGATATAGGGCTTGTTATGTGGGGGGTAAATTCCCCTTCCCAAAATGACACCCACATGCTACCCATCCCACAGATATTTTTCGCAGGTGCTTGGGGACCTCGCCGGAGGCGAGGGCGCGAGGGCGCGAGGATAGGCGGATCGACCGAAGGTGTGCTGGGCGCATGAAGAAAACGAACGGCGTTGGGGTCTTAAACCTTTTGCTAGGTGACGGTATGCCGGTATGCTACTCGGACAGTGTAAGCATTGGGTTTTTTGTTTTCCGTATTTCTTGTTTTCAATGCAAACATATATGTTTTGAGTTGATTAGGTCATGAGTTGCCATCTTGACCAGGGACTCTTCGGATACCTAGAGCTTCGTTGCGGCATATTTTTTTGCCGCAAATCAAAAAAGGCGCCTTTTTGGATTTGCGGCATTTCTTCCTGATTTGCGGCGTTTTTTTTGAATTGCGGCAGAACTTGTTTTCAGTTTTTTCTACCCCCCGATTTGCGGCGGAAATCGGCGGGAATGCGGCGGAAATCGGCGGGAATGCGGCGGAAATTCCCGGAAAGCAAACGGTGTTGCGGCGTTTTTGTTTTGGTTGCGGCGTTTTTTTTGGTTTGCGGCTGATTTTCTGGAATGCGGCGGGAATTTCCGCCGCAATGCGTTGCGGCAGAAATTTCCGCCGCAGGAAGTTCTAGGTATGTCGTGAGCCCCTTCGTATTTTGATCGTCCCAATATTCTGTCACGCGAGAACCCAATGAAGGGTGTCTCCCGCGCGATCTTCCTTGGCCCGTGCGGTTTCAGGGCTTGCTGGGATCTCTGCGTGATGTGTTTTTGGTACTGCCGCAACTAGCCAACGCTGTGTCATGAGTGTGAGGTGTGAGGTATGGTCGATGTTCGCCTTTTTTTTATGTAGAGTTGCCTATGTCC